GCGCCCAGCGAGACTTTTTGTATGGAGGCGAGGACCCAACCAGCTCCAAGATTCACATTGCCGGCGATGGCATGGGAGGCAGGCAGGGCACCCGGAGGGACTTTTTGTTTGGGGGTGACGACGAGGCCGAGCCGCCCAAGCCGATTTCTCGAAAAGGAGGGGCCCAGGGCGCGCAAAGGACCAGCTTTTGGAACCAGTAAATCATACACGTCTTTCTTCTTCTTCTTGATTCTGCGACAAAGATTGTTCTCCCACCCTTTGTTTTTCCTTTTCAAAGTTGTTAGAGTGGAGAGAGAGTGTGTGTGATGGAAGAAAGAGAACAAAAGAGTTTGCGATACCCATGGGCGCTAGTATGTATGATTTAATGCCCTGCAGGACGCAGCTTATGATTCATGAGTCTTTTCTTTACATATTATATATATTTATTGTTTTATGCCTTTAACATGTTTCTCTTTCAGTTCTTGTCTCTTTTCTCTGCCATGAGTGATGGCTAATTGCTATTGCCACGAACTGTTTCGTTCTGTTTCTTTCCGTACATGTTCCTCGTCTCGGTGCCCCCTTGACAACGGCACTGGCTCTTCATTTGATTTGAGAATTTGTTTACATTTGCCAGGTCAGAGTATATACAAGATTGCTCGTGGCAGAATTATTTTCTTCAATATACATTTTACGTGTTTTGATCATGTTGCGGGTTTTAGAGTGGAGAGAAGCATGATTCAAATTGTAATATTGACAGATTATATTTGATATAGATATACTCAAAATGGAACGCACATTTTCGGTCTCTGACGAAATTCCAAAACGCCTTGCTAGATAGATCAAACTGTGAAAACCTCGAACAAGAATTAGAAAGAAAAAAGTCCCTTTATCACTTATTCAGTTATAGATGGGAAGGTGACGTTTTGCAAGAAATAGAGGAAAGAAAAAGGCAAGCAAGCTTTCAACACAGCCACTTGTAGAATCTCTTCCACTTGGGCCAAGTCTCCCACTCTTCCTTTTCCTGCTGCACGAGGATGGGGACATTAAAGTCTCTTCTACCGGTATCAATGTCCATGTCTTTGATGCGCACGTAGCTCGTCCGGTAGTAGATTTTGTGGCCCAGGAAGAAGATGAGAACAATGGGAGCGCCCATCCACTTCAAAAAGAAGTTTTCGGCTTGCGACGCCGCGGTATTGGTCTTTCCATGAGAGATGGGAAAGGCGCCGACCCAGAACTGGGCTGCGAGGACGCTGATGTTGAGGGCGAGGCCGACGTAGGAGCCCATGACGCCGACCTGGGACTGGAAAGGAAGGTCGCTGGGGACGTGGCCGCGGGCATGCCAGGTGCGTCGGAAGCGGATGTGGCAGAGGCAGATGGAGCCCCAAGTGAAGATGGATGAAAGGCCCGAGATGGCCAGGAGCCAGTCGAGGACCGAGTTCTGCTGCTTGAGATCGGCGAGGTAGGCCAACAGGCCGAAAGCTCCAGCCACCATGATGGCAACAAGGGGTCGTCCCCGCTGGTCGACGTAGCCGAGGATTTCAGGGGCCTGGCCGAGATTGGCGAGGGCGGCGAGGGTTCGCGAAGAACCAAAGACGGCCGAGTTGCCGACAGACAAGACGGCGACGAGGATGACGGCGTTCATCACCGAGGGAAGAACGTCGATGCCGGCCGACTCGATGGCAATGACGAAAGGCGAGGCGTGGGCGTCTGCGTTACTGGAGCCCATCAGGTCTGGGTCATTGTAGGGCACAAGCAAGCCAACCAGCGTCAGGGCGACAATGTAAAAGAGGCTGATGCGCCAAAACACCTGCTTGATGGCTGTGGGGAGCGACTTTCGGGGGTTTGCCGTCTCGGCCGCCGCCAATCCGACGAGCTCGGTCCCGGTGAAAGCAAACGCAGCCGTGACGAAGACGCTGCAGAGACCCTTGAAGCCGTTGTGAAAAGCGCCGGGATTGTCCCAATACTTGCCGCCGATGTATCCGCTTGTGGGAGTCCCGCCGAGGTTTAAAACGATGCCGAGGAGGCTAAGGCATTGCTAATTAGCAAATAGACGATACGACGTGCTGTCATGCCTTGTTCAACTTACATGAAGCCAATGACGGCAACAATCTTGATAAGGGAAAACGTAAACTCGGCTTCACCATAACCTTTTACGCCAAACATGTTGATAGTGATGATAGTGACGATGAACACGGTGACAAAAATGGCCCTTGTGAGATGGCTATCCCAGAATCCAATGGTTAGAGATGCTGCAATAATCTCCAAGGGCAGGATCGTCAGCCACTGCATGGCGTAGCTGGAAAGAGGCAATAGTTAGCAGATGTTGGACATCATTATCAAGCACATAGGAGGATGACCTACTTCCAACCCAAGGCAAATCCCCAAGAAGGATCAAGGAAGCGAGTAGCCCACGAAGAGAATGAACCAGCAAGGGGGTAGATGACTGCGAGTTCACCCAGCGCCTGACATGTGCAGTACAGCATTCCGCCGACGATGGAAAAGGCCAGCAATAGGGACGCCGGGCCACCCGCAGCGAGTGCTTTACCGGATGCCACAAACAAACCGGTACCTAGACACGGGTTAGAAAGGACACTCTGGGGGTGGTGAACGTAACGGCACGAAGGCATTGAAATGAGCGGTTGCGCACCTATAGAGCCCCCTATAGCAATCATCTGCAAATGTCGGCCCTTGAGCTTCCTCGACAGTCCGTTGGAGTGCGCCGTCGCCAGCGCAGCTCGGCGCAAGTCGTAAAAGGGCGAGCCATTGTTGTGTCTCCGTACGCTCTCGAGCGGGCCAATGTCGTCGAGGTCTCTGCTGGGGAAGAACTTTGAATTCGGATCGCGTCTGAAGCTGTTGATGAAGCGGTCCATCCGCGGCTCCTTGACATCGTCGTAGTTTGGCTCCCGCATGCTGTAGGAGCTTCCGTGAGTCAGCGACTCCTCCTTGATCTTGTAGTTGCCAAACGGGTTGAGCTCAATGTCTCGCGGCGGCGCCATGCTGCCCTTTTTGCGCGCGAAGGGAAAGGGAGCGGGTCGCCGGCAATCGATAGGACGGCGGCGAGGATGACGATGCGATCAAAGCGTTTCCGGGGGGGTGAAGAGGCGTTTGCCTTTGTGTATTTGTAATTAAGGTATGTGGTAATATAAGCAGTGACCTCCAGCTGGCAATACCGTACTCGTAGTTCGTCGCTGTCGTCGTTTGCTAGGTACCTTGTTACGGGGTCGAGTCGAGGAGAGAAGGGGAGAGAAGGGGGGAAACCCCGGCGTGTGTCTCGAGTTAAGTTAATTCGGGGTGTCGCCGTCTCGGCTCGAGATACCGACTCGCAGAGCCAGGGTGTTGAATTTCCCTGCCATGCACATGCAGATGCAGAAGCTCAAGAGTTGAGTGCGTGAGTCTGCATGGGCAGCGTCACACGCATGGACAGTCGTCACCAATGGAGCGGCAAGGTTGTCCCGGTACTAGGTAGGTAGTATGCTCGTACAGTAGCAGTTTAGTAGCAGTGACGAAAAGAAGAGAGAGAGAGAGAGAGAGAGAGAGAGTTTGACACTGGGGGGACTTGTAAATTAATAAAAACGGCCTAGCAATGGGAAGGGAATAGTAAGTGTCAGAGATAGCGGCCATGGAAAATGGCTAGAGGAGTTAAATGGTGGTGCCTTTTTTTTTTATCTTGTCGGACAAGGGGTGGCGCAGACGAGACAAGGCCCCAGCGAACGAGTGCTGTACGAAATAGATACATGGTGAGAGATGGCGCTCACATCAGGGCTGGCCGTGGCGCTGTTGATCCTGCCATGCCTCGACTAACTCGTCAGATGTACAAGTACAGCTACCAGGCATACTTGACACTCAGCGTTGGAAGTGAGTGCGACAAAGACAAAGAAAGAGATGGGAGGGCTGAAAAGGTTGCTGCATGCACGGCATCGGCCTCTGCTCGACGGATGCATGCGTTAGTGCTACTACTAATAGGTACGAGTGATACAAGTACAAGTAGGTAACAGACAGCACGATAGATCTGATGCTAATCGGCTTCCCAACCCAGCGGGATACGACGTTGGGCTGCCTCGGTTACCGTGCCAGTCGAGAGGTGCAAGGATGCAGCGCTACCGCAGCAATGCGATTCCCATCGATGGATGTCGTTTTGGCTAACGGCCGTTATGTACCTATCTGCTGCAGCGCGAACAGTACTAGGTAGGTACCTGCAGCCCAAATTACAGGCACTTCTGTCATCACATGCGCTCAAATCCAAAGCCATCCACCACATGCACAGTTCAAAAAGAACAACAAAAAGAGACTTGTGATAGCGCCAACAGCTGATGTTCGTGCGCACCGATGCGATTTGATGCGATGTGACTCCAGGCAAAACGTGGAAGCATGGCGTTGCATCTCCCAGGGTCGAAACTGGGGCGAGCGCTGGAATCAGGTGGGGTGGGGACCGCCGATAAGGGGAACTGTCCAATGGCTTCAAATTCGCCGGCAACAGGTACATTGAAGTAAACCTAACGTATAGAGGGTCGCAAAGTACCTACTGCATCTATCGTCCGGCTTCACTCATCCATCTGCAGATACATTGAGTCTGTTCATTCATTACTTAGTACCTAGTACCTATAACCTACCTCTAACTAACCTTTGTAGCAACTACTTGGCCTACCCATACTACTAATGTATGTATCATCACAGACATCAGCAACTGCAGTCCAGTGCAGCGCCCCCACTGACTCCCCTCAAAGAAACTCGCCCCAAAATCCAAACGCCTCGTCCGTTAAATCCAGCACGTGATAACGCCTGATTTCCTATCAACGGGTGTGAAAGCCACCGGCGGTCCGGGCTTGATCCGTTGGCCCAACCACCTGCTGGGCAACTGCTTACCCCCCCCCCCCCCAAATGACCGCATAGAGTGGGCGGTATCTGGGGCGATTGGCTGAGTCCGCAGTACCTTAGTAAAGCCCAAGGCCTTGCTTGATATCAGGTAGCGAGAGCTTCTTTTAACATTGTTCCTCCATATCGGCTCAGCATAACATCAAACCATGGCTCCCAAAACGCTCATTGCGCCGTCAATCCTGTCGGCTGACTTTGCACAGCTCGGTGCAGAATGCGCCCGCACCATCGAGCAGGGTGCCGATTGGCTGCACGTTGATATCATGTTAGTTGTGACGCAGATACCCGATGTCGAATTACGGCACCATCACCTGTGTTTCGCCAACTTCCAGGCTGACAACGAGTATACAGGGACGGCCATTTCGTACCAAACATCACATTCGGAGCCCCCGTGGTGGCAAAGGTCCGGCCGCACGTCGAGAAGCCGGCCCAACCCGCCGGTCGAGGGACATTCGACTGCCACATGATGATTGCCGAGGTACATCAGATCCCGGTTCCGCATTGACTTGAACACAAAACTACCTCTCTCCTCCCTGGCAAGAATAGAAGTTTCTTTTTTTCTTTTTCTTTTTCTTTTTGGCTTCGAAGCTGACATGATACGTCAAACCAACAGCCTAAGAAATGGGTCAAGGAGTTCAAGAGCGCCGGCTGCGACCTCTACTGCTTCCATTACGAGGCTGCCTTTTCCTCTGCCGCAGAGTCTCCCGAGCAAACGACCGATAAGAAGACCAACCCCAAGGAGCTGATCCGATATATCCACGACAACGGACTGCTTGCAGGCATTGCCATCAAGCCTGACACATCCGTCGACGTGCTTTGGGACATTCTCGAGACCTCGGATCCCAAGGAAAGACCCGATGTAAGCTCTATGGCTCACAATTCTTTTTCCCCCCGCAGCCTACCTACTTACCATAGGCTGAAACATGGCAACTAAAAGCTAACGTGTTTGGTAATCAAGATGGTTCTCGTCATGACGGTCTACCCCGGCTTTGGAGGACAAAAGTTTATGGCCTCGGAGCTGCCCAAGGTGCAGGAGCTGCGAAAGCGATACCCCGAGCTGAACATTGAGGTGGACGGAGGGCTCGGCCCCAGCACCATTGACCAGGCCGCCGACGCGGGAGCCAATGTCATTGTCGCAGGCAGCGCCGTCTTTGGAGCCAAGGACCCGGCCGAGGTCATTTCGCTGCTGCGGAGGTCCGTCGACACCAAGGGAGGCAAGCTGTAGGTGTTGAGCGGGGAGAGGGTTGGATATAGAAGTGGAGGTCAAATTAGCTGCACGAAATAGAAATAGCGATTGCTTCCCCGTGTTTTTTTTTTCAAAAAGCCGTCGACAACATCCCAGCCGTGCATGTTCAGCTACCTATTCTGAACAATGTCTCGCGTCCAGTAAATCTATATGAATAGAATTACCTCCGTCAACAAGTACTAGTCCTAGTATCTTGTGTGTCAGCATTCCTCCACGTGGCAAGGAACGCATGCTCTTCCCCCGCCTCATTTTAATGAGAGCCTTCAGGGACCAGGCCGCAATATTCCGCCGTCGATAGCATAACGTTTGCAGGAAGTACTACCACTACTTACTAGTACTAGTAGGGTAATCCTGCAGTCATCTTGGCCGATGACTTGTGTTGCAGCAGTCATCAAATGAACAGATTTACAGAAAGATGGTAAACACACGGTAATCAAGGTCATCCATGATGTCGTACTCGACTTTATATACCTACCAAGACACGTACATAGGTTATAGAGGTTTCGTCTATACATGTTCAACGCCAACATGAACCGATGCTGCAACGCCAAACACTACAGTACCTGGTAGTAGAGGTAGTTATGCTCAATACCTACCTAGGTAGGTATCATTCACACCCAACACCCACCCCCGCCTCATCTTCAATCAAACTCATCCAACTCTTTGGTCAGTCGTCTTGGGCGTCCTGCTGATCGAACCCGGAGGCTTTCGCTTCCATCCAGTGGAGAACAACGGTCCCATGTCAAACCTGGGAAACGGATGAGCCTCCGTGTTCAGCACAATCTTGTCCAGAGGCAATAAGTCGTTTGGCGAGAAGAGGAGATACATGTACTTGAGTGTCTCAGCCTGACCGAATAACATGCACGCGTTAGCAGCCATAAGCTCATGATGGGGAAGGGGGGGGGTTAACAGAAGATGAGAAAGTAATGCGACTTACCAGCCAGAAACTTTCCATATTATCCTTAACCATTGGCGGGATGGTGTTGGCATCAAGCAGGCTCGTGAAGCCCCCTTGATCTTCCACCGCAGTATAGTTGGCAAACGATTTGAACATTTCCCAGCCCCATTCGCGGTACTTGACGTCGCCGGTGATCCTCCACATGTAGAACAAGCTCTCGACAGTCTCTGGGCGCTGCAGGTTGTGCACGTCGTTAGAGTGCACCACAAAGTCCTTGCGCCACTCGGCGTGCGGATCCTCGTCCAACTCGGCCGGCGCTTGATGGGGCGCCGATTCCTCCAGCGGCGGGTTGGGAATGTTGAAGTAGGTGATTTCGGCGGCCAGGCCCGTCTTCATATACTTGTACATGCCCCAGCAGGTTTGCATGAGCTCCCTTGCCAGCTGCATGTCGTCGTCCTGCTTCTTGGACCAAGTGGGCAGTTTCCGCGCCTCAACTTCAGTGATGCCACCGGTGGCCGCCAACGCAATGGTCCCTGGCATGAAGCAAACTAAGTGGTCCATCTTCGGCGACATCGCATACTCCAAGCCGTCTGGGCGCTCAGCGATGATGGTGAAGCCGGAAGGCTCCGTGTAGGTCACCAGGTGCTTTCGCACGCCCGCGAGAGCTTCATTCCACATCTCTTCGTAGATGGGCTCTTGCTTGTTCGTCTGAAGATATTGCTTAATAAGGTACTCATAATAAGAGTCACCCCTGCTTCCCAGACGAATATTCTGGCCTCGGAATTCGCCCGAATCCGCGTAAATGTAGATGGGCACAAGACCGTCTTCCGGATGATTATCATCGACAACCTCCATCACCTTTTCAACCTTGTCCCAGAAATTCTTCTCGCCAGTGAGCTTGGCCAGATACTTGAACTCTAGCTGAAGAGTCGTGGCCTCAGCCGTGGAAGAAGCTCCATTGTCGGAATGAGACGGGAGGCCCTTGTACTCTGCCAGATTGACGCTAGCATACGGGACACCAGAGTCAGAGTCAAAGGCAGAAAGTAGCCTGTCCGCCAGATCTCTAGCTTTCTCGAGATATAAATCTTCCCCGGGAGCCCCTTCGTCATCCTCGACCAAGGGCGCAAGGGTGGGATATTCGGTGGATAGATAATGGGCAGAGAGCAGCCCACCCAGCATACGGATGGTAGTCTCAAAAGTGTTGACGTCTTGGTCTTGATCCCAGGTCAGCGATGTGGAAAGCCATTCTCGTGCATGTTGCAGGCGTGATGTCGAGTTCATCAGTATCATCGTGTCCAGAGCGTCTATGATGATCCACCCAAGGCCCTTCTTCGCCATGTTCCTGCCGCTTTTCGAAACCGGGTGAAATTCATCCTTGCCTGGTGTCATCACAGAAAGTAATTAGCAAGAAAGAGATGCCTTCCATGACAGATGTCGAGCCACCAATATCATCACATACCCCATGCATAGCGTTCGTAGGCATCCCAGCTCACCTCGAAGGCTTCGACCACGCTCTGCCGCCGTTCGTCCCAGTCCACGTGGTCCCTATCCTGAGACAGACGCAGCCAAGAGAACGCCGACCCGGAAGATTTGGCTTCGGGATGTCCCGAGAAGAAGCCCATGATGTATAGCACAAACACCGCCGCCGCCATCAACGTCCCCAGCACCTTCTTGCGCCGCCACCAAGGCCGCAGTCGCATTGATGGCGCATAGGCATACGGCTTGTCTTTGTACATTGGTAGTGTATCCGACTCGAACAAGCCACTCCCTAGAACTCCCGGACCGCCTCTCCGCGACAGAGCCGCCCAGGCGCGGTCTTCCAGTGCTCGACTAGGATCCCCAAAGTCGGGCACGTGTTTGGGCATGGAAAACGACATTTCTAGGGCATTTGCGCTCGCCTGCGTCGCTGCCTCCCGGATATTCTGCGCCGCTCGCAACGCTGTATCTTTGAATACGTTTTTGCTGTGGATGCCGAACGGGTCGCGGATCATTGGGTCGACGGGGTCATGTCGAGGGGGGCGCGGAGGGGAGCGATTGGAGCGGCCAAACACACGGTAACGAGAGAAGGGAATGAGTGAAGCAATTCAAACTGCTGCTTCACCAAAAAAAAAAAAAAGAAGCCGGGAAAAGAAGCAATGGCCCGTCACGCACACGAGCCCGTCTAGGGGTCCTGGCTATTACAAGAGCGGACTCCTGGGAATGCCAGTAAAAGGACATGTCACCTCCAATCGATAAGGTTGTACTGTATCGCTGGTTTGTTAGTCCGAGGCTTGATCCCAGCCAAAATGTGGACTTGCTTGGCGCCCATGGGGGAACATGCCGCGCTACAAACTCGAAATCAAGCCTCAAATCTTGTACGGGTTTCCTCAGCGGCGCACTCCAGCATACAAGGCGTTTCAATGTCTCTCTCGAGGATTAATTCTTGTTCTATATTCACTGGCACTGCACACTAGCATATGTTATACTTGAAGCGAGAGCGGGATTTGACCCATAATTAGTCGCACATCTCACCCGTTTCAACCTCCCCTGCATCTACATTCGACAGTTGTCGTCGAAGAATTCAAAGGATATACAGGTACTAGGTAGTATTAGTACTTATATCAGCGGTACATCCCATACCTAACGTGTACTCTGACTACCTACAGTTGTTTTTTTTTACTCGGCAAATCAAGTATAGAAACATGGACATCAGGGAATTCCCCTTCCTAAGCCCGGAAGAATTCTGCGAAGCATGCCATCATTTTGATAGCCGGTATTGCAGAGCAACTTTAGGGCCCATGAGGAAGAAATGGAAGCTCAGGCTGTGCACCTCTCTGGATCTCACATATTCAGCTTCAAGTGGTTGCACAACATATCTCCAGATAATCCGGCCTTTGGAGGAGACGGTGGACCCTGAAGACATATCACTCGATTTGGGCAGCTTTTCCATTTCAGATCGCAATGCAGGCGACGGGTTTCTTCAAGGGGACGATGACATGATTGATGCTGAAGAGTCTGATGCGGTATGTATGCTAGCCTGATACCACTGCCGCTGCTGCTACATCTCGAGCGTGCTCACACACTTTTTCTATCAGGGCCTCATACAACACAAGGCGAGGCCGGGATTCGGCTATGTAGCATACGAGATTCACCTACACCCCACATACAGAGTTCCGTGTCTCTGGTTCAGCCTTCACGATCTCCCCTCAGACGAGCCTGCTTTCAACATCGACACCGTCTTCCGCCGCCTGGTTCCTGACAGCTATAAAGATGGTCTCCGTCGAGGAGTAGGAGGCATCGGAGGCATCTCAGCAGACGTGAGTTTCCATTTCTATTTGCACAAGTTAATTATGGTATCCAAAAGATCTAGTGGCGGTCCGGCCGCACTAACAGCTTGCCTATAGCATCACCCCATCACCGGGGTCCCCTCTTTCTTTCTCCATCCGTGCCTATTAGGAGACGCTATATCCAGCTTCCAATGTTCAAGGGATAATTATCTCATGATCTGGTTCGGCCTGGTAGGGGGGTGCGTCGACTTGTGGGTGCCCAAGGAAATGGCCACACAATAACGGCACTATTGGGATGGAGGAACCCTCGTTCTTGATGGGGGATGGCCCCGTCGTGAGCATGCATAAATCATTCGTCATCGCTGTCCTCCTCCATGGCCACATCCTCCTCGCTCTCCTCTTCCTCATCGTCGCGAGTTCTTTTCTGACCACGATTTTCATCTTCCGCATCCTTCGCAGCTTGGCTGGCGGCTGGGACAGCGGGTTTCTCGGGGGCCGTTCCGGGCAGCGGTGCGTTGAAGATGCTCTGCTGTAGTTCGGTTTGTTCCACAGTGGCGGCGCCGGATGTCGTCATGGGAATCTTGAACGTGCCATCGAGCTTGGCCACGAAATGGGATTTGGACTTGGCGTATTGGATTTTCTACAGAGGGTTAATCGCCAGTCGTCAACAGGGCCACGTAAAACCGGAGGATTACGCACCATTGGGCGACCCAAGAAAGTCTGTCCATCCAATGATCTCATTGCCTGAGTTGCCGCCTGGATATCGCGAAACACGATGTGCGCCTGGCCACGCATTTCCATTGTCTTGAGGGCCACGATGTCGAGAACCGGGCCAAAGGTCGAGAAGAGCGTGTAGAGCGCCGTCCGCAGGTCAGGCTTTTGTATCTTGGCTGATGGGAGGTTTGTGACATATAGACTAGACGCAAATCAATTAATAACATGATAACTCGGATTGTCCGAGAGCAACTCACGTCTGATTTGGAGGGATCGGTTGCACTTTGGCGGGTAGAGAGGCGTTTGGCGCGAGTCCGCGAGGAGCAACAGTCGACGCCATTGTGCGGTTAAGGAGGATCCGAGTGTTTCTTAAAGAGGAAAATAGAAAGAGCCTTTGTCTCGAGATATAGAACAGCGTCCCTATAGCTCGTTGTCGTGTCGGAGATTTGCCGTGTCGTCGTCTGGATTGGTGATTGATTTGGTTGATTTGAGCGTGGAGTTTTTCTGGTTCCTAGGCGGCTGGTCTTGCGAGCGACGAGTGGCCCAAGCTTCCCTGTCGCTACAAGTGCAAGTGCAAGTGCAAGTACCAGGTACCTCGACTTTAGCTGCCACTTGCTTACAGCCAGGGGCTCCATGTACGTAACTCGCAGCAGCAACGTCACCCCGCCATCTCGCCGCTATTGCTTCAACCTCGACCTCGATCTCGACCTCTCCAACTCATACAAGCAATCCTCTTCCCGCAATCAACTCCAGTTTCTACGTCTTCGTCTGCGATAGTAGAGAGCTACTCCTATCGACACAATGGCCGCTCCCGAAGTTCACCACCTGTTCCACAACCCCATTGCCGACCACTCCTTCTCGGCCGACCACGCAACTCTTGCCGTTGCTCGCGACTCAACCGTCGAGCTGTACGGCAAAGCTGGAAATGCCTTCAAGCTAAAGGATGTGCTCAAGGGCCACGACAAGACCGTCACCAGTGTCGACATTGCCCCAAACAGTGGCCGCATTGTGTCTTGCTCTCAGGGTTCGTCGTCACTGTGTCTCCTTTCCGGCCTCGTTTGAGCTCCTGACTGATGCTTCGCAGATCGAAATGCGCTGGTCTGGGAGCCCTCTCCTACCGGATACAAGCCTACCCTTGTCCTTCTCCGAATCAGCCGCGCTGCTACGTTTGTTCGATGGTCGCCTTCTGAGACCAAGTTTGCCGTGGGCTCCGGCGACCGCGTGATTGCGGTCTGCTACTTTGAGGAAGAAAACGACTGGTGGGTTTCGAAGCACCTGAAGAAGCCGATTCGCAGCACCATCACCAGCGTTGCCTGGCACCCCAACTCCGTGCTCTTGGCTGCTGGCTCTACCGATGCCCATGCCCGAGTGTTCTCTGCCTTTGTCAAGGGTGTCGACGAGCGTCCCGAGCCTGGTGTCTGGGGCGAGCGATTGCCTTTCAACACCGTCTGCGGAGAATATCTGAACAACTCTGCCGGCTGGGTTCACTCCGTGTCCTTTTCTCCTAGCGGAAATGCCCTTGCGTTTGCTGCCCATGACAGCAGCATCACGGTTGTCTACCCCAGTGGTCCAGAGCAGCCCCCTATGGCCGTTTTGAGCGTTCCCACCCAGCTCCTTCCCTTCAAGAGCTTGATCTGGAAGGCTGAAGACGAGATAATCGCTGCCGGATACGATTGCGAGGCGTTCCGCTTCCAAGGAGGCGAAGGGGGCTGGCAGCTTGTTGGAACTGTCGAGTCCAAGGGCAGTACCGGCCAGGGTGAGCAGCGCGAGGAGTCAGCCTTGAACATGTTCAGGCAGATGGATCTCAAGGGAAAAGTCAAGGATGACACGCAACTGAAGACGATTCACCAGAACACGATTTCCACTATTAGACCCTATGAGGTGTCTGGTGGCAGAGTTACCAAGTTTAGCTGTAAGTAAAACTAACATTCTCCCTCTCTCCATTGATGCCCGAATGGCAACTAGATTGCTCACAATTATTTTTAGCAAGCGGTGTCGATGGACGAGTGGTGGTTTGGAACGCCTAGAGTCAATGATCGCGAGGGTTTACATGAGACGTCTTCTTTGTACAATAGCTACCTAAGGTAGTACCGATGGGTGGTCGTGGCGGTTACTGCTACTAGGGCTCCATGTCAAGATATAAAGAACGGGCGCAGGCATATTTAACTCATTGGATTGTAATAGGGTGTAAGAATATTTATATATCAAACTTTTACAATGTTCCATCCACAGACCTCTATGGCAGGGCAATGGCCTCAATCTCCACGTCGACGTTCTTGGGGAGCGTCTTGACAGCAACGCAGCTTCGTGCCGGCTTGTGAGAGAAGAACTTTTCGTATTCTCCGTTCATTTCCTACAAAACGATGAGCAATGAGATGGGGGGGGGGTTCAACTTTGATGGATATCTACAGCAATGACTTACGGCAAAGTGAGCCATGTCGGAGATGAAGATGGTGGTCTTGACGACCTTGGAGAGGGAAGAGCCGGCCTCCTTGAGGACAGCATCGAGGTTTTCGCAGCACTTCTTGGTCTTTTCGGCGATGGTGCCCTCAATCAGGGTGCCCTCGGCGGTGAGAGGGATCTGGCCCGAGCAGTAAATGGCCGTGGGGGTCTTGATGGCTTGGGACTGGGTTTTCATTACACATGAGATGAGGTTGATCGTTTTACATCTGTACAAGAGAACTCACGTAAGGGCCCAGGGCTAGAGTGTGTCAATGATTAGATCAAACCCGTTGAATCACGCTGACAAGTTGGATTGAACTCACGGAAGGGCGCATCCTTGGTGTAGACGATGGTCTGGTCGGCCATTGTGGACTTTGGTCTGGCAAAAGCTGTGACGAGTGTAAACTTGGGTCTTGCAGCGAACAAGGCTGGAGGAGCCGCAGCTAGGCTTCTAGCAAAGGACCGGGCAAGGCTGCGAGAGATTGACAGCGACATGGGCACCTACAGGTTTTCTGTTAGGAGAAGGTTTAGATTCCGGGCTGGATTGTTGGGGGGGTTTGGGAGAAGAGTTGTTACAAGAAGAATTGGATCGAGTTTGTTCGTTGTTTGATGCGTGTATTTAGTAGTGAAAGCTTGCTGAGCTTGGGCCGGGTGCCCCCTCCGAAGGCCGGAAGCTTTCCCTCCCTCCCCCGCCTCGATTGCTGTGGCGGGTTTTACCGGCCCAGCGAGGTAGAAAGAAGAGGCGCGGTGGGCATTCTTACAAATGGGTTACTATGTACCTATGGATGGCATGGAATTGTTGCTGTAGGGCGCGCGCTATGGGTTTGCAGGGCGCATGTTGGACATTTTGGGCATTGCATCAAGTTGTATTTGAGTAGAGTCTCTTCATTAGTATCAATCGTCTACTAGTAGAATTGATATTCTGTTCCCATGTCAAGGGTGCGCCAGACAAACAACTCTTTGTCTATCAATCATTGAGCAAAACAAGAATTGTAGAAATACCTGCCTAGGTATATAATCTTGGACCTCTATCTCCCCCGACCTACTAGATAGTATGTAGGTAATTGCTTTTTCTTACATGTTGGCTTACTTTTTCTTACATGTTGGCTTACAGGCATGCATCTTGGCTTCGACGCTCATTCCGCCCATGATAGGCTCATTCATGTCTTCCTAAGCATGCAAGAAGAATCAGCTTCAACAACTCTCTCAAATCAAAGCAAGTAAGCGAGGGGCGCAGCCTGGTCAAAGAGAGAGAGAGAGACAAAGAGAGCCATGATTGAGTTGGTTTCACTTTGATGAATCCCAATGCAAATTGCAATCAACGCTACCGGCTCCTTGTTGCCAATAGCGGAAGTGTCTCAGGGGTGTCGAGCTGGCGCGTCATCTTGATCCATGGATCATTCATAGGGCCAACAGTTGGAGCTCCCCCTTTGCGGCGTCGCAATCCCAAATCCGGAGTGGGTAATAAAGGACAGTGTATTAATAGCTCCCGTGAACCCGGCATGTGATGGAGAGAAAGAGAAAGAAGTGGTTGAGAAAGATGCAAATGGATGTGCGCCATGTTCAAGATAGGATGCATTGTTGGCGGCTATTTACTATTAGCCGTTACAGCAAAAATGGCGAGAATGAATAAATAACTAAATACCGAGTGCATGCATCACAACGTAGCCTCTTCCATCCAGCTTCTTTCATCTCCATGCTAAAAATCCAATACTGCCTGCCAGGTGGCTCAAAAAAAAAAACGAGGCACTGCTACAGATTAAGTGGCGTGGCTGATCCCTGCAGCTTAGGCCTAGTGGCTCCAGCCTCGAGTCCATGGAAACGAACAAAGACAAAGACACGTTCGCCTCAGCTCGACTTGGGCCAACCCACCTTACGGGAGGCTCAACCATTGCACTCGGGCCTCCGCTGCACGACGCATCGCGAGTCTCTGTTTTTTCCCTCTTTCATTCTCTTCTCTCTTTGACACATTTTCAATTCTTCAATTCTCTTCAACCCGCCGCGGAGCCACCTTTGCATTGTTGTAAGTCCCAGTCCCAGTCCCAGTTCCAGTTCCAGTTCCAGTTCCAGTTCCAATTCGCTGTGTTGCCGAGACATGGATGCAGCCCAGTTGCACAGGCCCTAGCTCCCCGGCATGGAGAGAGACTTGAACGTTTCCAACATCTGGCCTGACTGCTGAATTCCATGCTAATTGCTCGTCCGTGAAGCCTCCTAGAGCCATGGCTCGATCTCCAACGCCGCAGCCGCCTAGCCTGCGGCAGCGGAACGTTGCGTCCAAGCAGCCCGTTCCCGAATCCACCTTTGCCCCCGAGGTCGAGCTCGACAAGCTGTCCAAGGCGGCAGCCTCGTCGCGCCAGAACATTCGGAGGGGCGAAACTGAGCACACGCTTGCTCTGACTCTGGTGACCATTCTCGGCTTCGTCACTCGGTTCTGGGGAATTAGCCACCCCGACGAGGTTGTCTTTGACGAAGTGCACTTTGGAAAGGTAGGGGATGTCGTGTTGATGTAGTCCACACTCAATGGCACACATGCTGACTGCTCTCATAGTTTGCCTCCTACTACCTTCAGCGAACCTACTTTTTCGATGTCCACCCCCCTTTTGCCAAGCTGCTTTTTGCCTTCGTTGGCTGGGCGGTTGGATATGACGGCCACTTCCACTTCGAAAACATCGGCGACTCCTACATTGCCAACAAGGTGCCCTATGTCGCGTTCCGAGCCTTGCCCGCCTTCCTGGGCGCATTGACTGTGTCTGTCACGTATTTGATCATGTGGGAATCGGGCTATAGTGTACCTGCTTGCCTCGTCGCTGCCGGGCTGATCCTCTTGGACAATGCGCACATTGGCCAGACTCGTCTTATTCTCCTTGACGCTACGCTGGTGCTTGCCATGGCCTGCAGCCTCTTGTTCTACATCAAGTTTTACAAGCTGCGACACGAGCCCTTCAGCAGAAAGTGGTGGAAGTGGCTTGTCCTGACTGGCTTTGCGCTGTCTTGCGACATCTCGACCAAGTATGTTGGTCTCTTCGCCTTTGTCACCATTGGCTCTGCTGTCATCATTGATCTGTGGGAGCTTCTGGATATCAAGCGACCCGGTGGGCCCATCAGCCTTCCGCTGTTTGGAAAGCACTTTGCAGCTCGCGCCGTTGGCCTGATTATCCTGCCTTTCCTCTTCTACCTTTTCTGGTTCCAGGTGCATTTTGCTGTCTTGACTCGATCTGGTCCCGGCGATGACTTCATGTCTCCAGAGTTCCAAGAGACTTTGAGCGACAATGTCATGCTGGCAAGCGCTGTCGATATCCAGTACTATGATACCATTACCATCAGGCACAAGGAGACCAAGGCGTACCTTCACAGCCACCCCGACACCTACCCTCTGCGATATGATGATGGTCGCATTTCCAGCCAAGGCCAACAGGTCACTGGCTACCCCCACAACGACACAAACAACTACTGGCAAATCGTCCCTGCCAGCAACGACCAGAAGCTCGGCCGCATCGTAAGGAACCAAGAGTTGGTTCGACTTCGACACATCGTCACGGACAAGATTCTGCTCTCCCACGATGTTGCTTCTCCGTACTACCCCACCAACCAGGAATTCACCGCCGTGTCCGCTGAGGAAGCATATGGCAATCGCCAAAACGACACTCTCTTTGAGATTCGAATCGAGGGAGGCAAGGCCAACCAAGACTTCAAGACTGTTGCCAGCCACTTCAAGCTCATTCACTTCCCCAGCAAGGTTGCCATGTGGACTCACACCAACCCTCTTCCCGAGTGGGCCTACAGACAGCAGGAAGTCAACGGCAACAAGCAAATCACTCCCAGCTCCAACGTGTGGATCGCCGAAGACATCCCATCGCTGCCTGAAGATCACTCTCGTCGCCAGAAGGAGCAGCGCAAGGTCAAGTCGCTGCCGTTCCTCCGCAAGTGGTTTGAGCTGCAGAGGTCCATGTTTTACCACAACAGCAAGCTGACCAGCAGCCACCCGTACGCCAGCCAGCCTTACCACTGGCCGTTCCTTCTCCGAGGTGTGAGCTTCTGGACACAGAATGATACGCGTCAGCAAATCTACTTTGTTGGCAACCCAATTGCTTGGTGGCTTGCCAGCGGTCTTTTGGCTGTGTTTGCCGGCATTATCGGAGCAGACCAAGTCTCTCTGCGTCGAGGCATCGATGCCCTGGACCATCGTAAGTGTTTTATACTTTTCTTCTCTCTGGTTACCAATGGCCCCGAGTCGTCGCGCTAACTCTTTGATAAAAGGCACCCGTTCTAGGTTGTACAACTCCACCGGCTTCTTCTGGCTGGCTTGGGCTACTCACTACTTCCCATTCTATCTCATGGGACGTCAGCTCTTCCTCCATCACTACCTTCCTGCTCATTTGGCGTCTTGCCTGGTCACAGGATCCCTCATTGAATTCATCTTCAACACAGATCCAGCAGATGAGGAGCCATCTCAAGGCAAAGCTTCCGGCCCCAAGAGACATATCACAGCTCGCGAGCGGTTTGCTGGCAAGAGCATGGCCGGTGCCTGGATTGCTTGTTTTGCGATTCTCGCCGTCGCCGCTGCCAGCTGGTTCTTCTTCTTGCCTTTGACATATGGCTATCCCGGACTGACCGTCGACGAAGTTAACCGGAGAAAGTGGCTTGGATATGACCTTCACTTTGCCAAATAAACAGGTACAGCTCTCAAAGGGCTAGCCATGGTGTTGAAGAAGGAGGATTGGTTCAGGGTTAGACAGATTGATGTCAATGGAGAACGCTCCCTGCGAGGTGCTGTCGACTGTTGTAGTAAAAGTCATGTGAAGGGGTCGGGTTTGTTATATGATGCAATATGCTTGACTGTGTACAATAAAAGGGGGAGGTTAGGGAGGAGCATGGAGTTGGTAAAGAAGAAAACAAGGCGCAATATTTTGCGCCTCCTCAAATAAGAATAATCCAAGTACTTTTTTTTAAAAAAAAAAAAAAACTCCTCCCTATTTCCATATATATCAGCTCGAGTGATGGATATCCGTCGTTGACTCCGTAGGTGTTCTGTTCGCCCTTTTGTTACGTAAGCTACCAAAGTATCCCGCTGACTGGAGCTCGTAACGATCACAGCTGCACATCATCGTTGTCATTGAAGGGAAGCTTGTCCAGCCGCAAGTCGAGACAAACCAATTGCCGCGTTGCGCCTGTGAATTGGCGCGATGGGCTGGCATAACTGCCATTGTTTCATTGTATTAGCGAGCATCGTAACTCGTGCATGTGCTTGTCGTTCCTTCATCTTTTGATCAGCACGTCTGCAGGCAACGATGCTGCTCTCAGAAGCCAACAGGCTGTATCTCCGTCGATTGATTCGCTGGCGAACGACAAGAGTGGTGCTGTTCTTCATACTCATGATCAATTTCCTCGACATACTCCGAATCCACAACAAAATCGTCCATGGTGACCGAGAACACCTCCTGCGCAGCGGCCGCGGGGCTGCGCGACCACGCGAGAGGATATACATTGCGAGCATGCACTGGAACAACGCAAAGGTGCTGAAGGAATATTGGAACGATGCGGTGATTCAACTTACGGAGACGTTTGGCGCCGACAATGTGTTTGTGAGCGTTTTCGAGAGCGGCAGCTGGGACGATAGCAAGGAGGCGCTGCGAGAATTGGACAGCGAGCTCGAAAGGAGAAACGTACCGAGGCGGGTCGAGGTGTCGGATACGACGCACTACGATGAGATATCCAGGGCGGACAAGGACAGAGGGGAGGGGTGGGTTGACACGGCGAGGGGGAAGAGGGAGCTGAGAAGGATTCCGTATCTGGCCAAGCTGAGGAACAAGACGATACAGGACCTGGTTGAGCTGAGCAAGAAGGGAATCGCCTTTGACAAGGTGTTGTTTCTAAACGACGTGGTGTTTACGGTAATTATATGAGGGTGGCTGAGGGTGGAGGCGAAGATGATATGGGCTAAACTTGTGGATAGGTCGAGGACGTGTTGACGTTGCTGGATACCAACCACGGAAACTACGCTGCAGCTTGCTCTCTGGATTTTTCCAAGCCGCCGTTGTATTACGATACTTTTGCTCTGCGCGATATTGAGGGAAGGGCGCACAGTATGCAGACTTGGCCGTACTTTGAGGCTAGGGACTCGAGAAATGCTCTGGTGAACCATATGGACGCAGTTCCCGTCACCAGCTGCTGGAATGGCATTGGTTGGTGGTGATTTTTTCCCCCACTAGTCGTCTGGGAAAACTAATAATCTAATAGTTGTTATGCCTGCCGAGCCCTTTGTATCGTCGACGAAGCTTCGCTTCCGCGCCGTCCCCGACTCCCTCGCCGCTCACCACCTCGAAGGCTCGGAATGCTGCCTCATCCACGCCGACAACCCGCTGTCTAAGACCAAAGGCGTGTATCTCAACCCGCGAGTCAGGGTCGGCTATAACTACCCTGCCTACGTTGCGACTCACCCCCCGGCCAAGTCTTGGGTGTCTAGCTGGGATATTTTCACCGGCCTGTGGGTGAATCGGATCAGGAGATGGACGTTATGGAGCTTTGACAGGTGGGTGGTGAGCTCGAGGGTGGGGCGGTGGGAGAAGGAGGAGAGTGGGAATCGGGAGCCTGGGGAGTTTTGCTTGATTAACGAGATGCAGGTCTTGGTTGAGAACGGGTGGGCTCATGTTTGAGCTGACATGTTTCAAGGTGAAATAGAAATCGGCATGGGCAACTGGTCTTTTTTTTTTTTTTTTTTTTAGCGAATAACAAATCATATTTTATCTATAATTGAGCGCACCTCATGTGCCTGAATCTGAAATTGTTTGTAGCACTTACCCCCTTGGCCCCTACATGAATCTACAATGACTCCTCCTGACATCTTGGTACGTGACGACGTTTCTAAGCAGGCTATTCGGACGATTCCGTCGAAACCGTTCAACAACCCGCCCGTGTAACTCCTCCATTGGCACATCTTTCCACTTCTCATCCATCCCCTTCATCTCCTCCATCCTGTTCCACACAGTAGGCAGTATCTCGACTTCTCTCACCTTGTACATCCTGGACAGAGCCTTCTTGTCTTCCACCCTGGCCGAATTGGCCACCTTGTCGACCTCTCCGTCCATCCAATCCAGCTCCTTGATGGCACGCAACACACGCCTGTTGTATTTCCGAGTTTCGGGGCTATGTACGTGTATCTGGTACATGTAAGCACGATCTGGGTCAGGCACGGTATTGAAATGGAGGTACCGGACGATGGACGAGTTGCGGCTAAGGAAGGATTCGATCTGGTAGATGTTGGAGTCGATGGGCATGCAGAAGGCGGTGCGGATGTAGCGCAGGCGGATGCGGCCGCGCAGGGAGTGGAGGGTGAAGGGGGCGGAGGCGAGGTAGAACTCGGGAGGGATGTTGCCGTCGTATAAGTCGTTGGCGAGGTCGGTCCATTCACCGAAGGGGTCTTGGACGAGGCCTTGACGGAAGCGTTCGAGATGGAAGAGGCACTCTTGGCGTCTTTGGAGTCTTTCTTCCACGGGTATGCAGGTGTATGTTGTGTAGATGGTTTGAGGGGAAGGGGGGGTGGGAGGAGAGTCGAGGACTGCAAAGGTGAATGCTGGCGAGGGCTGAGTTGGGGATGGCGGGGATGGAGAGCGAGATTCGGGTGGGAGTGAGATCACATTGATGGGATTGTCGTGAAGCTCTACGGCGTGTGGATGTGATTCCCTGTCGATGCTCTCAGGGGAAACATCGCCAGGATTGGAGGTGGAAGATGCCTTCAGGGGCGTGGCGTCTGGAGCTGGCTCTACTTGGAAGTGGGTTGTTGAACTAGAAGATGTATCGTTACCCGGTTTTGTAGATCGTTGGCCAGGCATGGTTCCGGACAGCCTGCGGCGGAGGGTGGTTGAGATACGTCGAACCAGGGGTTGACTGGAAGACCGCGATCGACTGAAGAGAGACATGTGTGGCTTTTAGATATATTGGGTTCTTCTTGGGTGATCACATGGTTCCGGAATGGCAGAGTGACGGGTGATCTTATATCTACAAGTGTCTGGGCAGGAAGCATATTCAGATGTGTTCAAATTGAACAGCATCGTAATGTGTTGGGGTGTAATGAACGTCTTGAGAAGCCGAGGGTGAATTTCGATTTCAATTGCTGTGTAGGAGACACTGGTATTCGTTGCTATGAACAAGACGATAAAAAATAGTCACCATCGTTCAGATGTATGGATCTTGGGTGAACAACTACTATGCCTACAAATTGGATCATGGTGTTTTGAACTTTTTTTACTCAGAAAGAGCCTGTTGGTCAAACGTACAGTCTTTGAGGTCATGTTAATTAAGCACTCGAGGAATGGCAACAGCTGAGGCACAAGAATATCTACAAAGCTTATCCCGGTTCAGTTTAACCCCTTTACAGCCAAAAATAGAGGTTGGTCATGAGGTATAACCATCGATCTAGATGGCCAAGGGTACGTGTAGGTTAGCCAGATCGCGAGCGACGAGGGCGCATCCCAACGCTTCAGCTCCACTATGAATAAGAAAGGAAAAAAAAAAAAAAAAAAAAAAAACTTCAGTTTCAGCTTTGAATAGTTTCATTTCTCGTATCGCAAATGTTCAGGGAATTTCGAAGCTGCCTGGAAACAATCTCGGTGCCTTGCGTATAAAAGGGGGGGTGCGAATATGATGGATAGAACTGATGCTATTTCCAGAATTTAATTCGACTGCCTGAGGAAATGGAGTCGCACGGACATGGATAGACGCGCAACCCCTTTCGTCAACGTCGACGTTTGCCGGTCCTCGGCTAGGTACTAAGGCTAAAACACAAAAAAGTACTACGGAGCAGCAGATAGAGTATGGAGTAAAAGTGCTAGGAAAGACCAAGAAAGCAAAAAAGAAACACCAAGGATTGCATCACCAGCCGACGCAAGCCCACACAAGGTTGGCGTTAGAACGGGCCAAGCGGGAGCTGCAAAAGGCCCAAAACCGCTGCGCAGAGCCGCAAACTCGAGCCAAAGGGGGCCGCGCTCCCCTGCAAAAGCTTGTCAAGGCAGCCGGATTTTGACCCAAGTTCCCCCAGTCTCCCCGCTTTCCAAACGACCCAATCTTGCTGTATGTCATCCTGAGTGAGAGCAGAATACGGTGGGGGATGGTGCTTGGAATTTGGGTGCCTTGGCAGGCTGCTCGATATGAAGCTGCGTGATTGGCCGGAAAAAGCAACAAGAGGGAAAAGCAAACGGATACGGACCACTCGTAACATGCACCATTACGGCAGATTTTTGGATCATGTGTGGCTTAGACGTGCTTCTGTAGATAGTTGCGGAAGAAGAACGAGAGGGGGGGAGAGCAATGATGGCCTGTTTCTCGCATGGTCTTGGGCCTGTATGCATTACAGTTAAGTTACATGTACGTGTATCATGCCGACATGGGATGGGATGGGACAGCAGAGCACGGCAGCGCTTGTGACGGGCAGCGGCCAATAGCTGAAGCAGACTTGCTGATACCGTGATGCTGCTGCCGGGCGTAGCCATTGGCCGGAGGCGAATCGATCTGCGTTTGGTTGGCGGCCAGGGGATGAGTCAAGCCCGTAAAGATGCATCTTCCCAACCTCGTCTTGGTTGTCCAGCCCTATGTGTGGATCGAGAGGAACAAGTGGCATTGGCCGGATTTGACATGCATCAGACAGCACAGCGCATTGTCACGGTCCTGTGAGTACATGATGCACAGGGGGGGAGGGGGCTTGAGATTGGCAACTCCCATGTCTCCAAGATGCTGCTGCTGGTAACAACACTGTAAGACAGAGCCGCCTCTACGCGAGCCCGACAGCGTGAATGAGCGATCCCATGGGCAAGAAGGGTGACCAAGTGCGAGACACTGCATGATGGAGGCTTGGGAGGTATGCATTACTGCCCATCAGCTTGATCCGGAGCGTCTTGTCAACTAACATGTCCGATGGACTACATGTACAGAATACACCTTGCGTCCAACAGTAAGTGATACTACATTAGTCTAGGCGTCAGGGGACTCGGATGTGGCAGATGAAGCAGCCAGAGCCACAGTCGTAGCACAAAGACTTGGAGATGAGTGGATCGTATGCTCCAGATGGCGCCCAAGACATACGGCTCGCACCCGGATGGTCCTGATGGCGAAGACAATCAACGAATAGAGACCAAGCATCCATGGGTGCGGACGGTGGTTGTGGTTGAGCCGCTTCGACAAGCCGGCACTAGCCACTCCAGACGAAAGCGGCCACCGAAACGAGACGTGCTGTCAATCAATCAAAATAAAAGAAAAATTATATGATAAAATAGTAAATTGGAAAAATAGAAAATCAAAAGACACAACACACGAAACAGCAGGTCGCGGAAACCTGCCAACAGCACGCAACTTGGGCGGCCGTTGTGATAGGCGGGCCGTCGAGCCATGGCTGGGCGTCTGTGCTTGGGCATTTTCGGTGATTGCCTAAAGCGGCATGGCGCACGAGTCAAAAGCCAGATGGACTCATTTGCATGGATCACCCACTCAAAGCTGCTGCTCTTCTCCATCTTCATACTGTACGAGCCCATTCAATCTTACTCGTACCCGTTGCTGCATGTATGTATGTATGATGTATGTACGAGTACACACTCCGGCCGGTACTAATGCAGCGGCACTGCTTTGCTGGCTGGCTGTCGCTCTCCGCTGCTTGTGCTTGTACTCACTCTGCTCGGGGCCGCTTTTGGCGAGGAGGGGAAAAAAAGTCCCCGGGTGGCGCCCTCTCATTCTAATACTTCATGCACTTTGATCATTCAAGCGGTGGCTCAGTCGCAGGCTTGTGGCATGGCAGGGGAGCATTGGAACTAATCCTACAGTAGTGGCGCAGGTGCAAGGGAGTGTCCAGACGAGACAAGCACGAGTAAGAGAAAAAAGCAAACAAGAAGAAGCAAACAAGCAAGGGGGGGGGATCTGAGTGTGAAGCCATGGGACGAGAGCCAAGAGGGCATTGTTGGCCTTTTTCTGCGGGTCGAAGCAGCAAGCCACACTCCAGCAAGGTTCCAACATAGATGAAAGGGATCCCTGCGCCTGCGCGAGGCTCCACGATAGGCTCAAGGCGCTGCTCGAGCTCGCACTGTCGGCACGTCACCAACGGTCACACGAGTGCGAGGTCGAGGTCCCTTGTTTTTTTTTCTTTTCGGTTTGAGTTCTGCTAGCCGTCATCGCATCGCGCTGTGGGTGGCATTTTGCGTCTTCTGGGTTTGGTGTTTTCGCAACTCGTTTTTCTCGTGAAACTGGTTACGAGGATAATCGAATCCTTCCACCGCCAAGAGGATGCAGTTAGTACTTGGCCTGCGATTATTAATAGCAGTAACAGCAATGCATGCAGTACTGTAGTGTCGGAAGCGAGTAGTAATTGTCTCCTTTTTGTCAGCGCAGTAACTACTAGCACGAGCTGCTAGCTAGCAACAAGTTCGCTCTGACTGACTGACTGACTGACTGACTGACTGACTGACCTCGTACATTGGGCGGACGAGTGAGTTCTGGCTTTGGTCCTCGAGACCCGGGGAACCAGTCCGGACGGCCAAGGTCGCACTGCTGATTTCCGACCCGGAATACACGGGAGCAAAGATGGCGTCTTGTTGCTCGCGATAGCACAGGGACCTGGGCCACTATCGCGGGTAGCTGCGTCCTCTGCCGGCTCCCTTGCGCCAGTGCAGGTGCCGGCCCCCAAATGGCCTCCAGCAACCACTGACGGCCGCCTGCAGCGGCGCCGCTAGGGACGTGCTACTGATCGATGGTGCTGGGACGGCGCTGCGCCGGCGGACATTTGTTAGTGCTCCAGGTACTGTTGCGGCTCTCTCTATCTTCGACAACCTCAGATACAGGGATGCGCCTCCTCCGCAGCGCTTACGCCTCAGCCCACACGCGCGCTATGCCCAAACGGGCCGGCGTGTTAGGCAGCAGCCTGCGGTGGGCTGAGTCCGCCTGGTTTCTCATCCGCCGCTTCTGGCTGCACTTCTTGTCGTCTTCTCATCCCTCGACCATCGTCTCTCAGCATATCCAGCGGCCTCTCGCGGTTGTACATACAGATAGAGAGCCTGTCGTCTCGTTTCACTCGTCACTTTTGTTTGTACTCGCTGCTCTTCCGTCCCTGCTCGCGCTCTGCACTCCTCTCTCTCGCGCACACGCCCCCCGGCTCTCCGCTTTCCATTCCACTCCCTCGAGTGTCTCGGGTCCTCTTCTTGGCTACCCTCCCCCCGTCTGTGCCGGAGTCCTTGCGTTCATATATCCAATTTACGCCCCGTCTCCCGTCGAGGCTTTTTTTTTTTCGCAACTCTCCGCCTGCTCTTCACATCTCTCCTTTCTCATCAGATCTCATCTCGAGACGTTTATTGCTCCTGCTCCGGCATCATTCGAGCACAGCCTACTCTCAGCGAACATCGCCTCCAATCAACCAACTACAATTGGCCCTGTTCCTGCTCGAGATTGACCGTTCTGGACACTGTCTGCTTTCCATTGACAGCCGCCACTGGTTCGCTTGCCTGTCCAGCATTGTGGGTTCCGACCGCCCATTCACATTGAGCCTACTCATTGGTACGGGTTACTTCTTCTCTTTATTCATATATCTGTCCTGTCCCCTTCCCTGCTGGCCTTGACGCCTTGACGCCTCAAAACTCGCCGTTTCCTTTTCGGTGTTTTGCATAGCCCTCGTCTATCTCGGCCCTGTGACTCACACCTCAATCGACCCTCCCAAAGAGCCTCACTGCAACATCTTCTCTATCGACGAGGAAGCTAACCGCTTGTTGCTACGCTGTTAGGACTCTTGTGGCATATCTCATACATCTTCCCCACCTAGGGAAGGGAAAAAAATCAATCCAGATCTAAGCCCGCCATGTCCTTCTCAACGAACCCCCGCAGAAGGACTCCGGTGACTCGTCCCGGTACCGACTGCGAACACAACCTGTCTCTTAAGACGGCCATGGTCCTCCGAAAGGGTGCCACCTTTCACTCTCCTACATCTCCCAACGCTACATCCTCAGACGACGACTTCGTCCCTCCTCGGCTTACGAGGTCCCAGTCTGACTTTGATGATGTCGTCGATGCTGGCCGCCGTCGTATTGCTATGACTCTGAACGATATCGACGAGGCCCTCTCCAAAGCTCAAGACCTCTCGCTGTCCGACAAGAGCCCCAGGACCAAGACACTCCGGGACACAAGCTTGCCTGTCCCTCGCGGTTTCCTCGACCTCCCCGTCGTCGACCCCGCCATGAACAAGGTGGAGTCTGAGCGACGGGTTCTCCGCCCTCGCTCCGTTCGACGCACAAGAAACCATGCCTCCGACAGCGGCATCGGCAGTTCAGTCGTCTCTACAAACGACAAGTCTGCCGCCGACTCAACAAAGAAGCCTCAGGCCACCGCCCTGACAAGGTCGGCCGCCTCGAGCACCACCGCGATGCTCCCCAGCCTCAGCCACCGCGCTGTCAACCGCATCCGCGAACACACTCTCCGCCCCCTCCTGGAGAAGCCCACGCTCAAGGATTTTGAGCCCATTGTTCTGGATGTGCCCCGACGCATCCGATCCAAGGAAATTATTTGCCTGCGAGATCTTGAGAAGACTTTGATCTTCATGGCACCGGTAAGTCGACTTCTGACCGATGATGGTGTTTGGGGTGATGCTTATCGGATGTTACGTCAAAAGGAAAAGGCCAAGTCCGCCGCCTTATACCTTGATTTCTGCCTCACGTCCGTCCGCTGCATTCAGGCCACAGTCGAATATCTCACCGACCGCGAACAAATTCGCCCCGGCGACCGACCTTACACTAACGGATACTTTATCGACCTCAAGGAGCAGATTTACCAGTACGGCAAGCAACTCGCTGCCATCAAGGAAAAGGGCAGCCTCGCCGACGACATGGACATTGACCAGTACGTACCGCGCTTTATACCTCTCGTAGACCTGGAGAGCCCTGCTAATGCCCCGTCAAGATCTGACGAGGTCCGTCTCTATGGCGGCATCGCTGAGAATGGCCGTCCTGCCGAGCTTGTCCGCATCAAGAAGGACGGCACCGCCATCTCAATGGCCACTGGTAAGGTGATTGACATGGGCGAGTCCCCCACTCCCCTCAAGCGCTCCCTGAGCGAGCAGCGTGAGGACGAGGAGGAGATTATGCGATCCATGGCCCGCCGGAAGAAGAATGCCAGCCCTGAGGAGCTGGCCCCCAAGAAGTGCCGCGAGCCTGGCTGCACCAAGGAGTTCAAGCGCCCCTGCGACCTCACCAAGCACGAGAAGACTCACTCTCGTCCTTGGAAGTGCCCCATCCCTACTTGCAAGTACCACGACTACGGTTGGCCCACCGAGAAGGAAATGGACCGCCACATCAACGACAAGCACTCGGATGCCCCGGCCATGTTTGAGTGTCTGTTCAAGCCTTGCCCGTACAAGTCGAAGCGTGAGTCCAACTGCAAGCAGCACATGGAGAAGGCTCACGGCTGGACCTATGTCCGCACCAAGACCAACGGCAAGAAGGCGCCCAGCCAGAACGGATCCGTGGCCCAACAGACTCCCCCTCTTGGTACCGTCTCTACTCCTTCCTCCACGCCCAGCTACAGCGTGCCCACACCTCCTCAGGACCAGAGCATGACCAGCGACTTCCCTCTCTACCCCACCAATGCCGACTGGTTCGCCACTTACGGCGCCCAGCCCGAAGCCATTGATGCTATGGACCTGATTCTTGAGAATCCCTCTCCTGTCTCCGCCACATCCTCTTACGAGCAGTACCCTCCCTACCAGAACGGCTCCACCTTTATCATCAACGATGAGGATATCTACGCTGCCCACGTACAGATTCCTGCCCAGCTCCCTACTCCTGAGCAGGTTTACAGCAAAATGATGCCTCAGCAGATGCCGGTCTATCACGCCCAGCCTCAACCCTGCGACACTGTGCCCATCCTGGGCCAGCCGCAGTTCTCTCCCAATGCGCAGCAGAATGCAGTACTATACACGCCGACCTCACTGCGCGAGGTCGATGAAGGCTTTGACGAGTCGTATGCCTCAGAAGGCGCCGACTTTCAGCTTTTCCCAGCGACAGTGGACAAGACGGATGTTTTCCAGTCCCTGTTTACCGAGATGCCAAGCGCAAACCTTGGCTTCTCTCAAACCACGCAGCCAGACATTTTCCAACAAATAGATTGGAGCAACATTGATATCTAAAAAAAAATCTCAAGATAAAAGATTGACAGAAACATGTCGGTAATGTCTTTGCCAGTGTACAAGATGTTACCCATACTTTACTCATTCACCACTACACTTTTGTTTTTTTAACGACTTTATGAGAGGGGTTTGGCAGTTTTAATGATTAAAGGATTGCCTCGTGTATTAAAGATTTTTTTTCTTCTCTTTTCTCTTTCTCAATCTCATTTCCACCCGGGTTGGTGCTTCATGTGGAAAGGAAGCGCTGAAACATAGCTGCATGTTTGGCCATTTGGGTCGTAGAGGAGGAAAAACAGCTGGTTTGGATATGGGTATGGACAAACATTGCGATCTCTCAAGACGCTGAAATTTGGCTTGCAGGGGTAAAGTTTGACTTTTTTCAACTCTCTAAGAATGATAGAAGATTTATCCCACCTCTCCTCGGTCTATGTGCCACTGTGACTTGATCTGGTATAGTGACGTGAATATGTTGCCTTGCTTGGTATGTAGACAAAAAAGAAGGATCAAGGTGTTGTAAGTTCAAATAATGGTACTGCTCTGGCATGCCAAAAAGATAAATTCTCCGATGCTGGGAATCGAACCCAGGGCTGCTCGGATCTTCAACTGCAAGTTGAGAGCGAGCGATGTTAGCCACTACACCATATCGTATTTCAAGATCAAGCGGATGGCTGTCGCTTGAGTCGTTGGACGGCGAGGAACGTGAAGTAGATGATAACCCTTGTGTAGAATCTAGTTCGAGTCAGTGCTTAGTAGACTACGGTACTAGTATTAAGGAAAAAAAAGAGAATGAATCGCGTGACGAACGAGCGATACGCTAATGAAGAATGGATCGGTGTGGCAAAAATAAGGGAAGTTGTGTGGAGGATGATAGACTGGGTGGTGGATGGATGAGGACAACAAGGGCAAAAAGAGAGGTTTTGACTCCGATACTGGGAATCGAACCCAGGGCTGCTCGGGTCTTTTGATGAGAGCGAGCGATGTTAGCCACTACACCATATCGGATGTGTTTCTTTTGAATGCAATTGTGGGTATTTGTGTATAGATTGGTTTAGATGGGGTGGACTGGATTTTGATGCGCTGTGATGTGAGTGTTGCTTGACTTGCATAGATATATCGAAAGTCCAACGCTGATATCGTCGATATTGTTGATATTTGTGATATTTTTTGTGGCTACGGGCTATCTCTATATTCAGTCCTATTATCTTTACCGTGATTGCCTTGAAAACCATCGCTGAATGCCTTACTTCCTGTGTGGCTGGCTCCTCACGTCTTGGGGAGGGTTAAAAATGCTGTGAAGGGGAACCAACTACACCGTACATACGGTAGGTATCTCATCGAAACAATAACGCTGTGATACTCTCCGGATTCCGTCCACTATTTACCAGACATAGCAATCAGCTAACTTCATATATATAATTAAGCGAAGAAATCGTAGAGACGCAGTCCAACTTTTCGAGGGAATACGGTATGCCTTTTTGCCTAGTACGTATTACAGTTGTACGCTTTATAGACTACATTACCTTATTAGTAAATACCTATTCTCACAGGTCTTGAGGGGAGTTAAACTTGCTGTGAAATGTCTCCACTTCCGGGTCGGAGCAGTAGAGGCAGGTTTCTTGCAGATTTTACATGCTTTTACGCCAATCAATGGAGGAGCGTCACAAAGGATGATGTAGGAAACCCACTGCTAGTCTTAGTCAATGGAGAGTGGATTACTGCACAGTTCTTACAAATGAGTGAGAGCATAGAGACACCTGATTTCGAGCTAAACTTATTCAATTGCGTTCCATTCTACTAGTAATGGGACAACAACTTTGTATCGCTGCTACCAATATCAATATAGAAAGGTGAAATTGAGTGTACATGTAATTACATCGTGAGTAGCCAATGCCCTAGTTGAGAGGGGTAATGTATGTCCACTGCTCAAAGGGGCCGGCGAGCGTAATCAAACCGCCCTGCTCACAAGCTCCGACGCCGAGAAGGGCATTGACATTATTCTATAGTTGCAATGCCGCGTCAGTATAGGCAAAAACTCTCGAAAGATGGGCTGGGACGTACAAGACAGATGGTTTCGGACGTGATGAATCGAAGGGCCTATTGATCAAAAAGTTAATATTAGATGAGGTAATGGACCAACGCGCAAGTTACGTACAAGCTTGACGCCGTAGATGTGGCCATCCTCTGCCAAAATTCCGTCTTCGAGAGCGGTCTGGGAGCTCTGGAGTGCCTCGGATGGAAATGTCGACTGGGCGCAGAGCTTATTTGCCCAGTCGACCTTGACTTGATAATCGAGATCGAGAATGGACTGAGGGATGGGGGTGCTTTCAGTTCCTGGTATGGGGTAGCAGAATCGCTGTTCGGCTGTCGCGGGGAGGACGAGGCTCAGAGTGGTGAAGATGGCTGTCATCAACTGCATGGTGGAGATGGGGTTCGGTTATTCTTAAAAATTGAAAATAAGGCAATGAAAAGGATGGTATTGATGGTTTGGTTGACTGAGACGAACTGGTGGAAGCTATATATATAGATACTCTGTTAACACTAGAGGCCTTGTCGACTCCAAGTGCATATAATAGCAATTACTGACGTTCTAGAATAGCGAATATCCCGGTTTGATAGGTGGAAGAGTTTCGATGTTTGCCATGGATATCATCTATATTAGGAAGGTTGCATTGAGCTTATGTTGTTTAAAGTCTACACGGTCGTCGTGTGGAAATCGAGTCCCTCTTTAAAGTCCGGCTCTGCACCTTAGTGAGCACTTGATGTACAAGCATATTACAGATCATCTTTAGGGAACCCTATTCTTGAAGGAGGGTCTATGGATTGTAATAGTAGCGGTACTTTGGCAAGTGAATTTTCAGCTATTGGCTACTTTTTCGCTCGTCCCTTGGCATGATACGAGAGAATATGTTCAAAATTGAGCCGGAGAACTATTTCATCCGCATTCTACGTGCCTATCAGCTGATCCAAAGGCACAAATCGTTGCTCGGATATATCTACGGAGTACGGAGTACGGAGTACACGAGACTAAATCGCCAAGAGCTTATGTGTGGTTCTGCGCTGGGCTGTGGAATTACGCAGCAACTCCCCATCGACGGTGTATATTGTGGACTCTCGACGGGGATTTCATATCGATGTATTACCAATCAGAGATATTTTTAGATGCCTGAGAACTTTAACGATTGTTATGATTGAATTAATCTTGTACAGACGGTAACTGGCTGGGAATTTGCCAGTGCGCTGCATCTGGATGAGTACGCTGAATGTAAGCTGCACGTTGTATGAACAAGTAAAGCCAAGCCTTGCAGGCCCTCAATACGATGTACGACCTAGCTTAGTACAGTACAGGTAACTTGGTGGGATCTAGATCTACTCAATAATTGCCTAAATGCATATTTATACGGGAGCGAAAGATATAGGTGCGTCTGTAATCTGGGTAAAAAGCGATGATAAATCGCCGGTTGCTGCAATAGGTCTCATGCCGTTTTGGCTAAAAGAAGTCGTGGACTTTTACAAATGCAGCTCCTTTGAGGGGGAATGATTTATGACGAGGCAATTTATGACGATTGGTTATCAGTTTAAGCAGGAAGGTTTCAGTGGAATATGATCACAAGCTTGTTTGGTTGAACGTTCGAGACCCTGCTCGTGGGCAAGCTGAACTTATTAAAGTCACAGAATGTAGATTATTTATTCTCATGTGGCATGGATATTCACATATATACCCCGCTTGGGGCGCTTTATATAACATCCACGGTAATGTGGGTTTTTAATCGAAGAATATATATGCATGCTCAAATATGTATTATCGATTTCATGACATGACATGGCTAGTATAAATAGCTTTTTCATATGCACCTCCGTCATCTTGTCCACTCACTCATACGGTTATTGCTGCAGCACCAAAGGTAAAAGACCAGAGACTGTATGACGGGCTATGCCGTGCATCAGCATCTAATTATTGCTTGTGACTAGCAGTAATGATGGGTAATCGCCATTATGTTTGTGATTTTACCCTTTAAAGATGGATGAATTCCACCTTGGATTCGTCTATAAAAACCACGCGCAGAGCCCGACGAAGCTGCCTTTTTAATAGCTCTTTCATCTTCGCCATGGCAATTCAATGATAGACATGAAGAGGACAAATTATACATTCCAGCAAATTTCTGGAGATGGGAATTTCTACGCAGCGCAAACCCTAAAGGTATTCTATAAGTTTAAAATCAGGTGTATGCCTGCCATATCTCATCTACCTGGCAAGGTGAGACTGACTCCATCCCTATGACCTGAAGAGCTCGTATGCTATGAACTATATTGAGCATCATATAGGTCGAGACTACATGTGTGAAGCTCATTTGCGGGTCCAGTTTACCGGAGTATGTGAATTTTTTCCTGAAAAAGATTGCCGCCTGGATGACGCCGAATTGGGCTTGTTTTGATCTGCTGGCAATGTCTGTGCTATTCCCGATGCTTATCTTTAGGTGTACCGAATCGCTTTGGTGGTGTTATTTGACATCCATAGCGAAAAAGTCCCTACAGGAGGATAGCATGTTACAATGAGTCCATACCGGTTCATGACGCCTCCATTGATGATACTTATGGTGATTATGTGAGACCTTTATCTATGAGGGGAAGAAATCGTGTAAGTCACCTCGGCGCTGTTGCATCCGGATTTGAAGACACAGTCATCAACGGAATTCTGCGTCCCCTCCCTTACACTCAAATCATTTCCGAAGAGTCATCCGACTATACATAAGCTATGGCCCCCCCCAACCCCTATAAGGGAAATCCGTGTAATGCATAGATTTTTTTGCCATAGCGGGGGAAACTTATACACTACACAGCTTATAGATAATTAATTTCCCATAAATTCTTAACCTACTTTCTATATAAGCAGCACGTAATACACAGTAAGAATTATACATAAGCACACATACCACTAACCCTTACGCTTAACCACTCGCCCTTACGCTTAACCACTCGCCCTTACGCCTAACCACTCGCCCTTACGCCTAACCACTAACCCTTAACTAACTACAGTGGAAATGAGTAAAATATATCCTGTGGAAAATTAATTATCCATAATCTGTGCATTACACGGATTTCCCTTACGGGGGTGGGGGTGGGGGCACAGCTTATTATGACGCTGGAGTGATCCGGCCTCGGTTTCCTTTAAATCGTCCATCTCAAGACACAGCTCCATCTGTTTTTCAGCTACATAGCAGATTACAAGGGTCCAATCAAAGGCATTCTCATATCAGGACCGATTACTACATGTACTGCGTCTATTTCCTCTTCATGTGGAGAATAGTAAGCGACGATTGGTCGCCCGCTCAATCATTTAGGCAGCATCAGCACCTTTATATCAATCCTTCCTACATTGACAAATAAGAGCAGCCAATTGACCTGACATGCGCGGGTGGGCTGTGCAGCGCGTTTGTCGCACAATTTCACGTATCACTCCTCCCCACAGCTTAATGGCTACAGGGCCCTGAGATCCTGAGATCCTTGTTACCCCAGCCACCTCTTGCTTATAACTTCTCTACTACCCATTTTGCATAGAATGCCGTGAATAGCGATACATGTAACGACCTAGGCAACAGCTCCTCTAGTCTCATCAAAGCTAGGCACACGACTATGTGCCTGAACTTAGATTGCTCATTTGGTTAACAAGCTCTTCGGCTAATCGTTGGGGGATAGAAGTATAAGTATAAATCTACGTGTTCTTATTCTTTTTCTCTCATTCATGGATGCTCTTTGTGCTTGTTTGTGAATCTTGACGTTGGATTCCGGCTGTATCGTTCCAAATCCCGTCATAGCGGTCTTGCTATTATGGACGGCAACGTGGAAGAGGTCGTTGACCAACAGCCACACGCGGAATGTCATGGCGACAAAGACTCTAACATTACTAAAGAGGTTCCTCCAAATAATGAAGCCCCCTCCCCTCAGGTTTCAAACGAGACCGATGATACAGATAACACAGCAAGCGACTCAGACAACGAGCTTCCATGTGCGACAACTGTGACTACCTCATCTGAAGATGCAGATGAAAGAAAGACCGACTTGGAATCTACTGCTTGCCCTGAACGGGATGGCCAACAAGTAGCTGATATCTCTTCGGTAGCGGATGATGAATCATCTTCACAAGCACCGGCCACAGAGAGCACACACAGTGACGAAAAAAGTCAGGATGCCAGTGAGACACCTGCTGCTAGAGCCGAATCAGAGTCAACAACTCCTACGACCAGTGATGGAGATGAGGCAAAAGACGCCAAACCAACAGAGAGCAAATCTCAAGATGTCGTTGATGGGGAAGATGAAGACCAGACCAAGCCCAGCAACAACGAAGATGAGACCAAGCCCAGCAACAACGAAGATGAGACCAAACCCAGCATCGGTGAAGATGAGATTAAGCCCGTCAACGAGGAGGCCAACAATTTGCCACCTCTTGAAGAAGCAGATCAAAACGAACCTCAAAAGGACAACGAATATGAAAACCAATCTTATTCTTACCCTAAACCCAAACGAGAGGTTGATCCTGCCACCATATTCTTACCGAGATCGCCATATTTCAACCCCTTTGATAACAACGCACCTCTACGCCGTGGATCCATTGATGGCATTCCTCCTCTAGATGATACACCAGCAAATGACGAACCCCCTGTGGAGTCATTTGCGAAAAGAGACTGGATGCGTCAGAAGGAGAAGCTGGGCGAGAAGAACGAAATCCTCGATGAGGTGATGGAAATGGTGGGACTTGAGTCACCAAAGATGGCTTTCTTAGAGGTCAAAGCCATGATTGATGCGTCGCAAAGTCGACAGGGGAAGTTGAGACGACAAGATCTCAACCTCGTTCTAGTGGGAAACCCGGGAACCGGTAAGGCGACCAATTCGTCCTCTGCTTTTCATTATGGCAGCAGACAGAGGAGAGCCACCAACTGACAGTGTTTTAGGAAAGCGAACACTGGCGAGACAGTATTACGAATTTCTTCGTGGTTGCCATGTCTGGGGTCGAAGTTCGGCCTCTAATGTTTTTGTAGAAAAATCAGGTCACACGCTCTGCCAGAAAGAACACATAGGGGATCTCAGAGATGCTCTCACAGGGGTGGGTCAATATCTACATGCTGACCAGGCTTCTTAACGGTTTACTGAATTTATAATAGGTACTATATATCAGCGATGTGGAGTTTGCAGATAGATACTCACGGGCATTGCTAATGGAGATATTGAAGGGCATCTCTGAAAAGGTTGTCGTTGTCCTTTCAGGATCTTCCAACCGCATCCCAGAAGTTCTAGGAAGCTCTCCAGCAGCTAGATGGCTATTTCCGCGCCAAATACACTTTGAAGACTACAGTGACGATGAGCTTCGACGAATTTTTGTTCAAATGGTTGCACAAAACTCGTTCAAGATAGAGCAAGGGTCCCTGGGACCATTTCCGCGCATACTGGCTCAGCGCGTTGGCCGTAGCCGCGAGGAACATGGATTCGGAAACGTACACGAGCTTCGTCTGGCTTATGGAAAGATACTGGAGCGACAATCGACCCGCATTCGAAAGAGGATGTCGGAAATTGAAGACTCATGGACTGAGACGTTGCCGGATGAACACTTGTTAACGGGACAAGACATCATCGGACCCGAGCCTGAGGACATCCGAACAAAGAGCGAGGCATGGAAAGAACTTCAAAAGATGGCTGGCCTGGAAGACATCAAGTCAGCCGTCGACCAGCTCCTCAGTAGGTCAAAGATCAACTATCAAAGGGAGATTAACGGCATGAAGCTGCTCAAGACGTCTCTCAACCGGATTTTCATTGGACCTCCTGGCACGGGAAAAACCACCGTGGCCAAGCTCTACGGCCAAATCCTGGCTGACATTGGTTTGGTCTCCAGCCGAAAAGTCATCTACAAGACGCCGGGCGACTTCATCGGCCAGTATATCGGCGAATCGGAAACCAAGACCAGCGCAATTCTTGATGCGACCAAAGGCAAGATCTTGATCATAGACGATGCGCACATGTTTTACCAAGGCAATGAACTTGGATCCGGCGAAACAGACGAGTTTCGGCTGGGTTGCATTGATATTCTCGTCTCCAAGATCCATAACAAACCAGGGGAAGACCGTTGCGTGATCCTCGTTGGATACCCGGATAGGATGGAAGACATGCTCCAAAAGTGCAACCCAGGGTTACGACGGCGGTTCCCGCTTGAGGAAGCCTTCCGATTTGATAACTATGATGACAATCGTCTCCAAGAGATTCTCGACATCAAGATGGAGGAGGACGGAATCAGAGCCTCGCCTGAGGCCATGAAGGTCGCATCAGAATTACTGCGGCGGGCAAGAGATAGGCCAAACTTTGGCAACGGCGGTGATGTCGTCAACTTTCTAAACCAGGCCAAGGCCAGACACAGGGAGAGAATGTCGAAGATCACCGATGTCGAGAAAATGGACATTGTGCTTCAGCCCGAAGACTTTGATCCCAAATATGACAGAGGTGCCACAGCTGCTGGAAAGTGTCGTGCGCTCTTTGATGGACTTATTGGATTTGAAGACACTATCCAGCGCTTCCAAACATATCAGCGCATAGCTGAGAACCTGAGACGCAACAACAAGGATCCTCGTGGCATCATCCCGTTCACATACATCTTCAAGGGTCCTCCAGGCACCGGAAAAACGCACACTGCTCGCATCATTGGCCAAATCTTCTATGACATGGGGTTCCTCTCTACTAATGAGGTGATTGAGTGCTCTGCAACACATCTCATTGGAAAGTATGTCGGACATACCGGACCCAAGGTGGTTGAGCTGTTTGAGCGGGCGTTGGGAAAAGTCTTGTTCATCGACGAGGCATACCGCCTAGCATCTGGCGGCCATGACAGCTTTTCGAATGAAGCAGTTGGAGAAATCGTCGATTGTATGACCAAGACACGCTATCATCGAAAAATGGTCATTGTCATGGCCGGATATACCCACGATATGGACCTTCTCATGAAGGCCAATGCCGGGCTCCGGGGACGATTTGCTACGGAGATAATGTTCACTCCCATGGACTCCGAGTCTGCTTTGAAGCACCTTTGCAATCTGCTAGCCAAACAGGATATCCAGCTTCTGGAAGCCGAAGACGGCTCCAACGTTCAAGAAACTGGAATAATGATGAACTTATTCGAGATGCTGGCCAAGACAAAAGGCTGGTCGAACGGGCGAGATATGCAGACGCTTGCCGGTGTGGTGACGGAATATGTGTATGGAAATATTGATGGTTTTGAGCAGTGGCAAGGCAGAGGGTTGTGCATTACGAGAAAGGATTTGATCAGATTGATGAGGGATATGCTTCAGCAACGAATGAAAGGGGGAATGAACGAAGTAGTACTAAAGGAAGTGGACTAACTTACAGGTAGCTTATTTAAGAGACAGAGGGAAAAAAATCTAAAGAGATACCAATACGATTTACATGTACCTATGATGCTCATAATGAACTCGTTGAATCTGCACTGCGTCTACCAATCTAGCTAGATTCCATCCTTACAATGACAGTAATGCATCTATTCCCCGTAACTTCTCCAAGGCAGCCTGAAGATGCCGAAAATTGGTTTAGATACGTTTTCATCTTTGCGCAAATAACTCGATCCCGCCGCTTCAGCATAAGTAACTTTTTGTGATGCGTTCGCAGAACCATGCACGGGTCTTAAGCCTCCATCGCTTTTCTCTGTTCTCACTCTGTCATCTCCATTAATTGAATAAGACGACCGGTGAGCAAGTTTCTTCTTCGATGCTTTTGTCGCTTGATGAGAAACCGCTTCGCCTTTGGTGTTACTCGCATTGCGTTTGCGAGAGCTGACAATTGGCACGCGATATGGCCGTTCACGATACGTGTGTTCGATCGAGGAGCCTATGACATATTTGATATGCTCCAGGTTGGCGCCGAAATGCTTCAGCTTGTACAGCTTCTCCACCAACGCTCCGACTCCCTGCTCATCTAGAAGCGCGTCCTCGGGACAGGTAGGATCATTCATGTTCTGCTTGAACGTCTCTACCAGCTCCAGATGAATCCGTCTGTCATCTTTCAGTGCCTGGAGCCGCTTCTTGTTTGGGCCCATGAAAAGGCCTCGCTGTCGGCCAGCTTCGATGACGCTCGCCTCGTCCTGGATGAGCATGTCAAGGTAGTCCAGCGTTGCATCGTTGATGACGGAGATGGCGATTTGTCTCAAGAAAAGACAGAAGCGAGCGGCAGCACGTCGAATCTCGTCGAGTTCCTCGTTGTACTCCTTGATATCCTGGTCCAGTCGGGCGATAAATGTTTGGCGCAACGTCATGTCGTCTCCCTTGGCCTTCAGTTGCCTCTCTATCTCGGTATCTGTGACCTGAACTTTGACCTCGGATAGTTCATAGAGAATGTGTAGGTGCTCTTGCCAGCGGTGGCGACAAAGTAAGCAATTGCTTGTACGTTTAAAAGCTGCACATCTGATGAGACCAGGGTCGGCGACGGTATCTTCTTTGACATTGTCAAGATAGCACACAGGGTGGCAGTGCGTTTTGTAGATGGTGACAACCACGCCGTCATCAAGACCACTGTCTTTGAAGTCACAACAATCGGGGTTTTTGCAAACGGTGCGAGGTCGGTCCAATTTGGTAGCCTTGAACTGAATTTTCTCCAAGCGCAGTCTCTTGCGAAGGTTGGCCGCCGTCAGCTGCGTGTCATTCAGCTCCATCTTTTTATTTTCGCACAGTTGAATATTCTTCCGGATGGACTCGGAGATGCTGGCCATGGGTTTTGTCAACTCCATTATCAGCTTGCGTGCCCCGTTCAAGCTCAACGTGCTGGTGACAGGATGAGGCGGAGTTGATGCAAAATAGTTCAGCAGCCGATGCGCCTCTTTGCTTGAGTGGTCCCAGCTTCGACGGAAATCTTCTTCGTTGGCCATCTGAACACCATCCTTATAAGCTGCAAGGTACCGGAAGCTCTCCGAGTCGAAACAATACGTTGTTGACGTGGAGAGCGTGATTGGTATATCGGAATGCTCATCGAGCAACGTTTTGAGGGGCTTGAATGTATCACCCGGCGTGTAGTTGGAGATGCGAGTGTTGGTGAAGCCAAAAGCCATGTTTTTGGTCGCACTCCGGTGCAGATGAGTGAGGAGCTCTTTGACGCAGTATTTGAAAGTGATGGTGAGGCGTGCATTGTTGGACTTGACCAGCACCAGGATACCGTGCAGTTTGTCATAGGAGCTAATAGTTTTGAGGATATCAGCCATGTTCTCTTTATCGTAGGAATGGCCTCTGGTATCTCCAATGCCGGGTGTATCGATCAAACGATACGTTCTTGCTCCAATAACGACTGGATAAACTGCCGACTTTTGCGTTGCCGAGTTCCCCGTCGATCCATCTACTTCATCATCACGCCCGCCAACTTTGACGTTGTGTTCCTGAATGTCTGTTGCCAAGTTCTCCCTATCCATAGTTTGGAGGGAGAACGAACAAGGAATGACAGATGCGAGCTTTTTGGCTTCTTTCGCTTCATCCAAGGTGGAATAAGATAGATAGTTGACAAAGGCGTTGATGAATGTCGACTTCCCCACTCCAGTCTCCCCAAGGATGAGGATATTGATGTAGTTGTCTTCGCTCAGTTTACCTAGAAGCTTGCGGAGCTCGACCACATCATAGGCCTTATAGCCAGCATCGTGTTTGATGCTATTGCACTTGAACTCGTACGAGCTGAAGAGACCACGCCCGCAATCGCAGTAGAAAAAGTCATCACTGAATCCGTATTCGATTGCTGCGAAGCATTGGGGGCAGGTCCATTCCAAATGGCAGGGAGCGCATCCCGGCCTTGGGCAAGGTATCTTCACAATGCGTCTTTTGACTGGTCGTTGGCGATTGCTCTTATCCAGGTTGCCACCAGAGCATTGAGCGAAGCACAATGAAGAGAGGAACTGGCGATGTACAAGCACATCGAAGATACTCTCTGTTTCACCCTTGTGCTGAGAGATGCGTGGCATTCCTTGACACATGTGAGAGTCTGTTGCGTCATGGTCCATGATGTAGACGGGCATCCGATCATCTCGTTGACCAAGTAGCTCCAGAAGTAGGGTAAAATTGTCATTCCATTCCTGCTTTTGGTCCATTGCGACTGAATCAAAGTGAAAGATATAGTAGTCGGTATCTTTGTGGGCTTTTTTCACCATCTCGAGGGAAAGCCCATTGTGGCCTATGTAGTTTGAGCCCTGGGCAACGGCACTGGCGATGAATTCGAGCTTGTCAGTTTCTTGCCCGACAATAGCAGCGAGTTGCTTTGGCGTAGGCTCTGTCAAGGTGATGTCGTGGTACAAAGCCAATAATATCGAATGGTCTTTCTTCCCCTGTCGCACGTCCAGTAAGAGGTGAGAAAGCTCATTAGATGCCCACTTCTTAATGCCATCCAAGTAGTTGATTGCATGTGAGACCTCGTTAATATGCTCTTTGGCCACATGCATAAAGTGACTCGCCAGATAGGTATAGTAGCTTCGAAGCTCAACAGTGGCAGTCCTTAAATCGTCGAAGAGCTGTACGAAGCCGGCAAGGTAATCCATTCTCACCGGTTTCAGGCTGTGCTGAAACACATCTGGCAAGGGAAGAAGATACGAAAGCGTCTTGATGGGAATCATGGTGTATGCGATTGGCCATCCCTTCCCGCCGCTTTCTTGTCGAATATGGGCCGGCACGATGCGTATGAAATCGCGTATTTCAGACACGTCTTGCATTATCAGACCTTCATTTTCAAAAACATCGCTGTAGAGTAGGAGATTATTGCAGAGTTCCATTTCAGGGCCCATCGTAGATGGTGATTGCGGCGTGATATAGCCAGACTCAATGGACGATGTCAAAACCTCAAGATCCCTATTGAAGGTCGCCTCTTCACCTTCGGGCATTCCTGATTTACTGGACGTGGGACAGCTGGCTGCGATAATCGTCCGCAACCCCCATTTGATTCCAATCACCACATGAGTGCAATCATTGGTCTGCAGAGGCGCTGAATTGCCGCTCGAGTTGAAAGCCTCCGTCAAATTGACCAGTGTTTGCACCATGGTTGAAACCTGATGGATGACAGCCGCACGCCCTGCTCCATTGCTTGGCACAAAGTCACGAAGAAAGACTGCAGCGCCTTGGAGCTCAAGAATGCCGGAGAGGATGTTGACTGCAGTGGCATCATCGATATGGAGGTCATTGAATACATCTCCATACGAAGCGCATCTGGAGATGGTGACATCTGCCTGAGGAGTCTGCTTTGTTGACACGTACTTATTCGACAAGTCTGGAGATAGAATCGAAGCATTCAGAAACTTATCTGTTTTTGCATCGTACAGGGTCCCAATTCCTGCAACTCGTCTGAGAGCCGGGACCACTTGATCATCCATGGTTCAATGATTTGTCTGTTATGACCTCGAGAATGCTGGCTCTCCATCCATCCCCTAGAAAGGTATGAAATATGCCTCTATATATACTTGTGACAACGTGACAACACGTCTATTGTCACTTCAACGCTGAAGAAGACATGAGTGGCATGCAGGGAACTTTCATCTAGAGACCACTATAATCGAAGACCGCAAACCCCTCGTAGGCGGGACTGGATCGCATGTGAATGCTACTCGCAGGCCTCCCGCTTCCCATGAATCGCATGCCTGCATAAGTGGATTGGACAGATTTACAATGAATTGCCGGCCAACGACGTGTCGAATGCATGTACTAAGTCTGCAGAGCGACCTGAAGATTATGTTGCCTAATCACTCACAATTTGTCAAACTCGAGAGCTATCTCTCTCTTGTTACGTGTACATGTAGGCGCATATGCATACTCCATCCCTCAAAATCACATGTACTTAAAGTAGGCCCCCAGCAGTAGCCATGATAGGTTGTTACATGCCATGATACATGCATTGAACCTTCAAAATGTTTCCACAGCCCAACAAATACGTATGCAGATACGTGTAAGTGAATACTACCTATTCATTTGTTCACTCATGTTGAGATTTCTGACCGCCTCACCAGCATGTTGCCGAAGTACCTCGCTTGACTGCGTATCTTATGATGTGTGTAGCATTTTGACGCACGCTTGATTCTTTTAGTTGGCCATCCTGAGCAAGTGGCCGTTCAATCTATGTACCCATCAGAGCCACGTCATGAAATGAACTGCCTTGTCCAGCATGCCCAAGCCTTGTTTGTGGAGTGACAGATCTGGATTGAAAGACCTTAGATGTGAGAACAATGAACAACACCATAACTCAGGCTAGTCTTGCTGTAGATCTGAAAGAAATGAGGAAAAACAAAACTCTGTGGTGACGACCGAATGCAAACATTCACCATCATGCTTAAGCAGCTGTCTTCGCAACCGGCAGAAACTTGCCAACAATCTCCCCACCATCCACGTTAATGACAACATCTCGCAAAGAGTTCTGCTCCTCAATCTCCTCATCGTCATCAAGATACGCATCCAGAACAATCCGCTTGACCTTTTCCGCGCCCGCCTTTAGACTGCGTGCTCCTAATTTGTTGTGATAATGTGCCTTTGCAAGAGTCGAGCACACGGTGCCATCTCTTCGAATCAGCAGCCTGATATCACCGATGAGCCGCTCTCCTGGTCCCTTGATGAGGCTTATAGGCAAACGCAGTTCCTGTGCCAACTCTAATAAGCACTTGTGGGTGATGACGGCTTGTTCGCCAGCAGAGAAGGGGAGCAAGGGAATGAAGTCTGAGATGCGTCCTGTCACGGGCGCCTGAGTATCCAAGTCAGCCATCTGTAACTGCTGGGAGCATTATTCAAGTGTAAACAGGGGAGACACTTACACCGAATTTCTGAAGAAACCCTTCTTGTAGCTGCTGGCAAAGCTTCCTGAGCAGCCGAACTCTCTCACCCGCATCGTCACCAGCAATGGCGTCGTTATGGTCATAAAAGTCAAGAATGGTATCATCAAGGGCGTTTGTGGCCATGATCCAAATTGTATTGGAGCAATTAATCCTATCACCCGTCCGTCTGTCTCTGTATTCACCTATCTCACAGGTTAGCCCCTGTAAAAGTCATCGTCAATCAGGTGCCATACCATTGTCAAATGGAAGCAGCAAACTTTGGTGGATCTCTGCCGTCGTCTTCTCAAATTCATCCAAGAAAACAATGCACTGTCTCCCAGAATGCTCCACAAGAAAGTTGTTGACTGCCGATCCTTTTTGATAGCCATGGTAAGGCGCCCTGGGCCCAAATAGCTCCATCTCATGAGTGAATGTGGTGCAATCAACCACTTCCAAGTCCAGAGACAGCAGATGGCCGAGTTGTCGTGCCAACTCAGTCTTTCCGTGGCCACTGGGGCCGGCAAAGCACAACACCAATGGCTGTTTAGCGGGCATCATGAGGTGAGTGAGCAGCCTCTGGATGAGGAGCTCGCTGGCGACGGTTTGGCTGACCAGGAAATACGGGATACCCAGCAACCCCTGGCAGTTTTTAATCCCAGCAATCTGCCGCATTTTTAACGAGGGTGGCTTCATCTTCGTGGACTTTTCCAGAAAGTACCTCTGGGTGAGATTAATGTTCCCTGCGAGCCTGGTCTGTGTGGCTGGAGAGCACCACGCAGTCTCTGCAGCAGCACTTATCACATTCTTGCCTTTCTGCCCGGTGCTTGTGGCTTCGTCCCGTAGATATGGTGCAAACAAATCCATTGGAATGGAGTTGGCGGAAGCGCCTTTGCTAAGAAGAACGCAAACCATGTTTGTCGTGTCAAGCTGCAGCGTCTCTCCACACATGATGGCAAATGCTAATAAGGGGACCTGAGAAGCCTCATATACAGCACTCACACTGGCTCCAAACTCGGTCAAGAGCCGTACCATATTCTCGTCGTTTGACTCAACGGCATAGAAGATGAGAGGAAACCCCATGACGTTGGCATTGATATCCTGCCCGAGAAGTCTTGGATCGTAGGTGTTTAGATAGCTTCGGAGACGATAAGCCGTGGCACCATGCTGAATGGCTGCGGCAAGGCTATCGGGACTGAAATCATCCTCCGTGGAGATTTCCAACCAAGGAAGACGAGGCAAGGTAAAATCCCATTCTTTGGGAGCGCCGTCTCCAGCTGCACTATGTATGGACACGTGGGCGTCACTCTGGTATCCCATATCCGAGGATGTTCTATGGGACATGACGGAATTAGATCGTGAACTTAAAGGGCCCCTGGATGGTGGATCGCTTTGCGCAAGCTCCAAAAATTCCGGCGTTGATGATGGAGATTCGTCTATCAAGTCTTGAGTGTACGATTCCAAGAGACGATGATGTTTCACGGCCTCGTCAACATCGTTATTGCAAATCTACAAAGTAATTAGGGAAATGTGACAACTAAATGCGATTTTGAATGGTGCTTTCTTACCTTTAACAAAGTGATTGCTCTCTTTCTAGAGCTGCCAGACCTCTTCATCAGACTTTCAATGAGTTTAGCATCAGCCATATTCGGTTGGATGTCCATCCAGAAGACGGACTGAGTATCTGATGGGGTATCGGACATTGAGTATGGTTCTAGTGATTTTAGTAAGATATATACCAGGAAGTAAACATAAATGCTGTGTTTAGGGACAGCCTTGGCGGGTTATTACATGTGTGTTACATGCACATTGAATCAGCTAGACCCTCAATGATTCCATGATATTGGCGGGCCTCCCAAAGTGACTCGATGCTGGTAGCCAGCCAAGACTCAACACATATTTCGTGCAGAAGGAATCCTGCTTTTTCCTTACATGCAGAAGAAGCGTCGGTCTGGAATCGCATGGTGAGCTGTCCAAACTTCCGGCAGCCTCGAGACATGCTGCGGGAGGCCGTCAACAGAGCCTGATAACAATCTGCTACTTGACATGTTCCGTAGTATTGAGCATTTACGCCCAACTAACGCCGTGTCAGTAACAGGGGTTGCGTAGAAGTAAAATCATGGTGTTGGCCACATCTTGTCTCATGCATATCGGTTACATCTCTCATCCCCATTTGTCTAATATTTGATAACCCCAAGACATGCTGCGGGAGGCCTTCAACGCAACCTGATTTCTTGAGCCAATCACCGCGCTCTACTTCTTGACATGCATCGCCTCCACCAATGTGCTTACATGTAACCAACAACGTCTCAATTTTACGTGCCCTGCATAGAAGAAGAAAAACATCGTATTGTTCTAACCCTTTGCAGTTGTACCGCTGCATGTAATAACAGGTCATATTGCCAGTAAATATTCAGTCAAGAATTGCATCCTCCGAGCAACCAGGTCCTACTTGCTTCTCCTCCTGTAAGTCACTGCCCGCACTTGGTTGCGCCCATATACCCAACCCTGACAAAAGTGACATCTGCTCCCGAAGTACCGCTTCGGTGGCCTGCAGCTGGGTCTGAATATCCTTGTTGGTAGCTTGCAAGTCTCTGAGCCTCCTCGATACCTGCTCCCCGTTCGTCTTGTGGAACGCCAACAGGCGCTGCAGCTCATTCACCTCCTCGCTGCTTGCTGAGGCCAACACGCTGGCTCGTTCGAGTACCCACACCTCTGATTCAGCGGCCTCGTGCTTTCGGCCTCCCTCGCGCGCTTTGTTCCGAAGATAAGTCACTTCCCGCTTCAGTTGAGCGATCTCGGCATCCTTGTCTGCTGCCTTTCTCTTTTCGTCTTCCAGACTCTTGCGGGAGGCAATCAAATCTTGCACCAGCCTGTCCATTCTGAACACAACAGCATCTTGGGTCTCCATATCCATTCCTTGAGAGAGACGAGCGTCAGTTTGCTCCAACTTGGCCTCGGCATCATCGTGAGTGCCTGTAGCGGTCTGTACATCCATAGTTTGAGGAGTTCGAAGATGAGGAGGGATCCATCTACCGACAATCCTCTCTTGTGGAGGATTGCGAGATCTGATCACGCGTCGAACAGTAGGACCATACCCTACATCAGGTTTCGCGAAGTCTCCTGGGATTGAAGCTTGTTCCCAACCGATATATTTAGCCGCCATGAGAGGAGTTTGCTGGGAAATTCTAGTTGGTAGCGAAAGCTGCAATGCAGTATGAAGAAATCAGTACGATAGTAGCTCATACACGTAGTGGATCCCAACAGAAGTCTGTGTAAACGGAGATAAAGAGCAATAGAGAAGAAGGAGAGAAGGAGGAAGAGTAAACAGCAGAGGGTGCTCAATTTATGCGTCTCGAGACATTGCTTCAGCACATATAAATGGCATTGGCTCCACTCGACCTTTTGTTCAGACAAGCACCTATGGTGGAAGGCTTTATGCATGATTTTGGCGCTATTCTACTTGAGCGAATCATTTCCAAGTGTGTTTATGTTGGATAGACATGAGGTATCAACCGCTATTACATGGCCGTTCTACGGAGTAGTGAATGGGATAATGAATAAAAGATAGAGGAGTTAACCAACAAATCAGTGGGCCAAACAATTCATTCATCAGTAAACAAACGTAGCTATCATGCGGGTTTATGTACAGTAACTTTAATAAAAAAAAAGGAATAAAAATGTACCCGAGTCTCTCTACCAATGATACTGTAGTCCTGGTAGACATATTCATCTACATGCGCTTGCGCCGCTCAATCTCAGCCGATGTAGGGTACCTTAGGATGCATAAAGAGCTCCAAAATACATGTATACAAGAAAGAATGTGGGTGCAATACAACAAGAGGTATGACAATGAGAATTCCAAACTTATGCTTCTTACTCTGTATAATACCAAATCAAATCATAAGAAGAGTCAAGACATCACAATAGCAAGTTTATATCTTCATGGTTCGCTGTAATGAGAATCAAAGTTTTGTATAAATGTATGGCTCCCGCTCTATAACCACCTGCGCCCATGCTTGGAGAACCGCCGAAGAATCCCATAAAAAAAGAAAAATAAAAAAGGGTATAATATCGTGATACAGTTTTTTTCGTCACTCGGCTTTAGTTCTCGCAGCCGAGTGAGCGGTCCTGAATCAGGACCTCTAGAGGGAGCCCGTTGTCGCCGATAATGTCGACCTTGCCACTGTAGGTAGAAATGAATCAATTAGCCTCATGATCAATGATGAATGAAATGCGTTCCTAATTGTGCAGACTCACCCCTTGGTAACGCCATTACCGTGGTCGCACTCGTCCATGATGCTCTGGATAGCGTTGGCCAGGTCAGTCTGGCCAATGCGTGTGCTCTCAAACGAATAGGCGTTCTCGATGCAGGCAATGGCGCTGCCGACGGAGAAGGAAGCGGTATGTGCGGGATCGATGGTGAGCGGGAAGTTCAAAGGAGGAGTGAACTGGTTGCCGTGGACGTCGTTCTGCAGGTTTCGTCCATCTGAGAGGGAAAAGGTCGGGATGGGATCGACCTTGGGGTGGCACTCGACGGCCAAGCCCACGGCGACGAGGGAGAAGAGAGCAGCGTAGACTGAAGACCGCATCTTTGGATTGTAGGTTTTCTTTTTGCCTGTTTGGAAATACAAGAAACTGGATGCTATGCTTCACAGAGAGAGAGAGAGAGAGAGAGGCGTGTTGCAAGAAAGGAGGGTATGGCTAGCGCTGATAAACTCAAAGGGATCAAGATCTTCACAAAGCAGGAACCAAGTACTTTATACGATAATTCACCCAAAAGCTCTGGGGGAACGCCCAACGGACGAATTTGTCACTAGTATAATCTGACTTGTTGATTGTTCCATCGTTATGCCCAAAGTGCGCCCAGCTATAATTAGGCGTGGTTTATCAAGCTTAAAAAAACACCAAAAATAGGACGGGATGCAGCGACGCCGCACGTTTTTTCGGAGCCAGACTAGCCGTTACGGTGCTGGCATTGAGCACAGCCATCAACCCACTTAGTCACCAGAGACTATTTCTAGCCATCGCAGCTAGATTCGAACCAACGCAGGTTTTCAACCAGTGGAAGCACGTTGGCTGGAGCTGCTAGTAGAGCTGCTAGAGCTGCGAGGCGCTGACGTGAGATCTTGGACGCTGGTGGTTGGTTATTTTGTCCGGTTTAGTGTACGAGCGAGTATATAAAGGAGCCTGTACAGGTTCATGACTGACGCTTCAAACCTACGGTTCCTACGAGTACTCAGCAGGTTATGTAATTGGTCCGAGATGAGCTGCTGTCATTGAATGCTTGTCAGCTTCACTCAGCGTCGCTTACCAACAACGTACTTGTAAACATGAGTTGTAAACTTGCAGCAAAGAGTTCAATGCTAGGATGAGTAAGCTCGGCTACCCAAGTACTCTCCGTGTACTCTCCGTCTGTGTGGATAGCCTGTAGCCTCGGCCTGAAGCCGCATCTGTCACATGAAGGGTACATGCGCCAGCTGAAGGATTGAATCTTTGTCTGGGGTAATTATCGCTTAACGAGCGTCATATAGTATTGGAGTTTTATTATATAAAGCCATGGCTCGGTAGAACCGCTGAAGCTGTTGGAACTTGTGTAAAACTTAAACTCGACCCATATGTCAGCTCCGAGCTGTGCTTTGGAAACTATTGAAATGTCAAAACCTCGGATGTCAGCGATGAACGGAGATAATACAAACTGCGACGTAACAACGGAGAGCCGAGGAAGTAACTGCGCTGGCAATGATCTAACCCCAGCAATGAGACTTCAATATAAGTATCAAGCAGAATACGGCAAACGACAATGCAAACAACTCTTGTAAACCACATTTTCTAACATCGAGGGGTCTCGAATTTATACCCGTTCGGGCGGCCTTCCTAATACGGATATCACTGGCACTAAGGTCAAGTGTTCTGAACCCCAATTCTCGGTGTAGATCTTCCAGACACCGTCATCAACTCAACACATCCTCACACCGAAATTTCACCACCATGAAGGTCATCATCATTGGTGCTGGTCTGGGCGGCCTCACTGCTGCTTCCGCCCTTGCAAAGAGTGGCCATCAAGTCCAAGTCCTTGAGCGGAGCCCCAAACTAAATCCCACGGGAGGAGGCATCAGCATCAGGCCAAGCGCAAGCAAGGTCATACAGAGCTGGGGATTCCAGCCGGTCCTAGAGCAAATCTGCGACAGATCGCCATCCGTCACCTACCGCGAGCTAAACAGCGGAGAGATCCGGACCACCGTCGTTGATGCCCCCGAGCATGCCGACTGGGGCTCGACGAGAAGGGCCTTTGTCAAGCTGCTCCAACACCAAGCAGCTCAGGCCGGAGCACAGATTCGATTTGGTGCAAACGTGGTGACAGTTTCTGATGATGAGACAAAGGCTACTGTGACACTGGAGAGCGGGGAGGAGCTTGTGTGTGATATTCTCATAGCGGCAGACGGTATCAAGTCGCACGCTCGCCGCGCCGTGCTATCAGACCTGGGGCCTCCCGAGAAATGGGACCCGATTATCGACCAGACCACCTTTTACAGCTTCGACATGGCGGCCAGCGAGCTGACCATTGACCCGAGGTCGATGAAGCTGACGGAAAACTCAAACATCACCACCTGGAAGGGCGAGGGCGGCTTTGTCGTGACGCGATACAGCTCCAAGTTTGGCAGGCTCGGCCTCCTCTTTGCCATCCAGGGAGAGACGGACCAGAAGAGCCTCTGGGACGAAAAGGGCGACATCGACTTCGTGCGCCGGTTCTTCAAGGACGCGTGCAGCGACATGATCAAGGCTCTGGGAATAGCAAAGTCTTGCGACCGCTGGCGAGTTGCTGAAGTGCCCGACCTGCCACGCTGGTCGAGCAAGGCCGGCAGGATTGTGCTGTTGGGCGACGCAGCTCACGCGATGCACCCCAACGCCGCGCAAGGGTATTCGACCATTATCGAGGACATTGGCGTGCTGCAGCTGCTCTTGTCCGCCGGCTCTACGGCCTCTGTGCCGCAGGTTGTGAATGCCTGGCAGGCGATTTGCAAGCCTAGGGCGGAGCGGGTGAAGGCGTTTTCGCAATGGAACACGAAGCACTTGTCGGGGAAGACGGAGCATGCCATTGGCGTCTCCCACGCGGACAGTGTGCTGGAGAAGATTGTGCCGGATAAGAACGCTGACTTTAGCAGTCTGGAGTTTTGGAAGTGGAATGCGGATTATGATGCCATTGGCGAGGTGAGTCCATCTGCCTACAAGTATCCATTGTTGTTGTATCCTCGGCCAAATGTGAAGCTAATGTGTTGTAAATCCAGGCAAAGAAGTATCTCGCAAAGACCAGCACGTCGTCAAAGTTGTAGACGTGAGAAAGTGTACATAGCATTATATCATATGGGAACGTTGAATCAATGTAATACAAAGCACGTCATTCTCTTTTTTGATCCTGCGAGAATTGTCAATTGGTATACACATGTAGTATGTTGATCTGATGATGAGCATGAAGGGCTACCCCAGAGTCTGTGGCTACCTGATGCTCATCAACACAGAGCTGGTGTTGGCATGTAACCTCTTACTCGTCCAAACCAATCCTAAACCAATTGCTACCATTCATACAGTATTTAAGAGACGTAAACAGCCAAGATGAAATAACTTTATGTCAAAGAATATTGCAGTAGGGATTTGGGGGTATTGAATGCGCCATCAAGATATATTGAAGGATCAAGGATGTGTGGCGCTGCCAGCTTAGCGTCAAAAGCCGTCTGTGGCGCACGCACCGGCCAATCCTTTGCGTCTCTTCGCCCGAGTTTTTATCGCGACTCGACTTGATCCTCGTCACGATCAAGACCTCACGCGCCTTACAATGTGCGGCATCCACGCCGCCATATCAGCGGATGCAGGTCGTCACCAGTTGGCCCCAGGCCTCGAGCGAAGGCTTCGGAACCGCGGCCCGGACCATCTTGGAGCCGTAGAGGTGCAGCTCTGTCCAGGCGAGAGCTCGCTTCACCTGACTCTGGCCTCGACGGTTCTGTCGTTGCGCGGAGACCATCTTGCAAAGCAGCCCCTAGAGGACGCGGAATCCGGATCTGTGCTTTGCTGGAACGGCGAAGCCTGGAAACTTGGCGGAAAACCGGTCGAGGGCAACGATGGCGAGGCTGTCCTAACCCTTCTGACGGCCGCGAGTCGTAACGGCGGTCGAGAGGATAGTGTCCTCGACGCCCTGCGATCCATCGAGGGACCATTTGCCTTCATCTTCCTGGATAAGACAGCAAAGAAGCTGTACTACGGGCGTGATCGTCTTGGACGTCGCTCACTGCTGCTGAAAAGGGGAGACGAGTTTCTGCTCTCCAGCATAGCTGAAGCCCCTGCCGTGGGATGGGCCGAGGTCGAAGCAGATGGTTGTTATACTATCCAGCTGGACGGGGAAAACTCTCCAGCGGAGCTGATGCCTGTTCGCCATGATTGGGACCAGAACAAAGACTTGGTAAGTCTGCTTAGAAGCGCTTTCGCAGGCCACTAGGAGTAAAACCATGCCAACCGCAATTCGTGCTACTCATGTCTTCAGGTATCAAGTATCGGCATTTTCAACGCCTCTATTCCTACTACCCCGACGACTCCCTTAACCAGTCAGTCTCTCTCAGTAAAGCAGCTGCGGGACCATCTGACGGAGTCACTCCAACTCAGAGTTCTAAACGTCCCGAGACCTCCAATGGCGGAAACGTCAGACGCCCGAGTTGGCGTGTTATTCTCAGGAGGGCTGGACTGCACCGTCCTGGCCCGACTTTCCAGTGACATGATTCCGCCAGGACAAGCTATTGACCTAATCAACGTGGCATTTGAGAATCCTAGGATTGCTTCGCAAAACAAAAACCTGTCCACCGCTGAGTTATACGAGCTCTGCCCTGACAGGGTGACTGGGAGAAAGTCATTTGCGGAGCTACTAACTGTCTGCCCAGACAGACAGTGGCGATTCGTTACTGTAAGGACCAGTGAAGCCAACGGTAAATCTCACATATTAACACATGTCTAGGTAAATGTTCCGCATGAAGAAACAAGCGCTCATCGAGCAGAGCTGATAGACCTCATATACCCCCATAACACTGAAATGGATCTCTCGATTGCTTGTGCACTGTACTTTGCTTCAAGAGGACAGGGAATGGGGCAGCTGGGCCCGGAGTTAGACGCGGCTGAACCATATAGTACGACAGCCAGGGTATTGCTATCGGGGCTTGGTGCGGACGAGTTATTTGGCGGATATGTCCGGCACGCCACCGCTTTTACACGAGGAGGATATCCGGGTCTCATAGACGAACTGAAGCTGGACGTTGGCCGGCTAGGCAAGAGAAACTTGGGGCGAGACGACAGGGTTCTGGCTCATTGGAGCAGAGAGGTGAGGCTTCCATACCTTGACGAGAGTCTTGTCAAGTGGGCGATTGAGCTGCCTGCGTGGGAGAAGTGTGACTTTGACAACCCGGGAACCGGGTTTCATCTGGAATCCGAGAAGAGGGTCCTTCGTCTCCTTGCTGACAGCCTGGGTATGCGCTCTGTGGCAGCAGAGAAGAAACGAGCGGTAAGTGACGGGCTCATTCAAGTACTCGTACTGAAGCTTGCAGATTTTGACTAATCATCTATTTTTATAGATACAATTTGGAGCGCGAACTGCCAAGATGGAAAGCGGCAAGGTCAAGGGTACCACTCTGCTTCTTCCTTGAGGTATATGAGATTGCGCTTACACAGACGGGTACCTGTACCAACAACACGAGGAGATGCATACCTAGATATATGCACAGCGTATGTGACAGAAAGGGAAGTCTCTCGGCGGTGATGATGAAAACAGATACTTCCGAGCTACGACGGCCACAGGCGGAGTCAACGGAACAACTGTGCGTTTGCTGCTTGCAGCTAACCCCTTTGTCTGGATGCCTGTCTATTCTAAAGAGCCGGTAGCAGTGACGTTGTGAAAGGCAAGTCTGAGCCGAGATGTGCGTGTGACCCCTTTCTGTCCAGCTCTTACCCTAGATTTTACAAAGCCTGGCGTAAATAGACAATTGAGTGGAAAGAAAATCTTTGTTGGAAACGTAGCTGTGAATGCATGTATGATTCTCTACCTAATTCTAGCTCTGATAGTCAAGATTTAAATCTGATAAAGCATTAGTACTTAGTTCGCTTTATCTTGTGCATCTTATGTCCCGATTCATGATAAACACATACTCTATTGAGAAATATATACTCTCTTCCTCCTTCTCTTCAAATCCCCACACTCAACTTGACGTGACTCGACATGGGTCCATCCCCCTAATCGGATGTGCGGGAGAGAGCGAACTCGGTGATGGCACGTTGGACAAGGGTCTTGAACAACGACCCAGGATCGTACCGGAGAAGCGGAATACGAAGCGAAGGGGGGAGCGTCGAACAAAATCTTGGTTAGCGATGGAATGGAATAGTAAGAGCACCTGATTCCGGGATCTCTAGACTAAGACTAAGTTCTTTGTAATTGGTATTGCTACTCGTACGGTATGTATGTTGACGGACAAACTCGGAAGCATTGAGACGCTGATCGCATGCAGACAAACATCATACATGTACGAGTGGAGCTGTACGAAATGTATAATGCCGGCATTGTGCACGTCATTCATCAAAGTGTTTCTGGTAATGTAGAAGCGATCTGCGCTTCGGCCCATCGGGATGGAGTTTTTTTTTTTTTCATCCTGTTTTGTCGGTCATGATAGTCCGTACCTATCGCGAGGAGAGAGTCTGTGCGAAGGAAGAGTCAACTGATCATCGTGCTCGCAAACGTTGCCGTCTTGGCGGGAGGATATTCATGAGCTGTCATTTCTGGCTCGGGATACCGCCATTACTCGCGTATAAAGGGAAATTAGCCAAAAAAAAAAAAAAAAAGAGAATGAAGGTAGGAAAAAACCGCGCGTCTCGTCGTATTCGATGGAATACTATTTGATGAGAATACGCCGCTTCGGGGCCGTAAGGACTTGGAATTCCGTAAAGTAGACGCAACTCTGAGCTTTGAATCCCGTAGTGCAAGTCCGGAGCTTTATTTTGACACTTTGATGTTTTCCGACCCCTTGTGTATGTATGGCCCCGAAATTCAAGCGAGGGGTGACACGGCGGAACCCTGGTCAGTGGACAGGGGAGAAAGGAAAAGAGTTGTTTCTTTTTTTATCCTCTCGTTCTTGTTCTTGTTCTTTTTCTTTTTCTTGTTCTTGCTAGGATATTGGTGAGCCTCCCTGGTGTGCCCTATCTTTGATGTAAGTCAACGCCGCGTTTGAGTAGGTGGACAATGTATCAGATGAGATGGAGCACCAGAATTTGGGAGTTGCCATGGCCGAGCCACGAGTCCGGCAAGATGCATGTCTCTGGATAATCTGGTACCCTAAGTGTTCAACTGAGACATGATAGTGCATCTTCTTGGGATCTCCTAGTATTTAGCTGGATGCAGTGTCTAAATCGCCATGCGAGAAACGTTTTAGTAGAACTAACACCACCAGCACTCAGCGTAGCTCGTCCTTTTTGTCACATCGCCTCATAATAGCACATGTACTACCACATATGCCAAACAGACGAGCATCCAAGTGCTGTCACATCTCAGTATTGAGCGAGATTGCTGCTCAAAGGCAGAAAAAAAGCCGGTGGATACGACCGGCAGGAGAGGAGAAGGGGGGCTTATACGCAAAGCCGCGTGACAAGCGATTTCGCCCGTTGACTTGAGCTGCCGCTGCCCTTTTTTTTTCTTTACGAGAGAAGCGTCAAATTGCCATCGACATGTACCCTGATCATCATCATTATACTTTTACTAGGAATACAAGCATAGCAACAGACTATCCACAGAGTATTCATGCCTCAACTTGCGTATGTATGTGGATTACTCAACGACAGAGAATCTGATGATGCTGTATAAAACTTGAATATAACGCCAAAGGTATCATATCAAGACAACAGACAATCGACAGCTTACCTAGATGAAATGGTATAGCACGTCTATTATCTTCACATGCTCATGCCATCTCCTCACCATAAACACATGATCCTTATACCTGTACTTGCCACCCAGGCTCGGCACATCCCCAGTTCATGGCGGTCTAACATGCTCCCCCCTGTCATCGGCACTCCGGCCCCAAGCCCTCCAACTACCGTCCTAGCAGCAACTCTATCCAAGAGCCACCATCAAACGAATCTCACAAGCGAAAGAAGCAAACCTCCTCTCTTCGCTGCCTTGGCCTCATTAGGGGCCAAGGCAACAAGGGGGGGGATCAGCTCCAACATGGAAGGACGTCAAGTGAATAAGAAAGAAAAAGGAGCATCGCCATGACACCCTCTTGCGTATATAAAGACTGTTGATCATCTTCCATTCCCGTTCGATTCTTCTTTCACATCCCCTCATCCACCACTCTCCCTTAGATCCCACCAAAGCTTCTTCAGCTTCAGTCATTCCTTTCGACTCCCCCCTCCCCAAACCACACCCAAAGTCAGTCCTTTCCGCTTGAAATCACAGCACAATAATATCATTCGCAATGCATTTCCTCGCCACCGTCGCCTCTCTGGCCTCCGTCGCCATGGCCGCCTCCGCCACCGGCCCAGCCTGCTCGGCAACCACCTCCAACGTCCAGCTGGCCAACAAGATCGTCGCCGAGGCCGCCACGGACATCGACGCCGCCCTCAGCCTCGCCGCCGGCTTCAAGTGCCCGGCCCCCATGGCCTACAGCCCCTGGACCAAGGCCTGCTCGTGCCTCCCCGGCCAAAACTACGACGCCAACAGCAAGGCCTGCTCCGGCTCGGCCCTCGTCGGCGCCTGGCCCATGCCCAAGTGCTCCGCCTCGGGCTCGACCGTCGCCCTCAGCGCCTTCTGCGCCATCTCGCCCACAAAGTTCACAAAGTACGACGCCACCCACGCCTGGTGCCAGGCCACCATCGAGACCTTCACCTTCTGCGCCGAGGCCGAGATCGAGGCCGAGATTGCCGCCCTGGGTCTTGGTATTAACCTCGACGTCGAGCTCGACATCTCCCTGACCTCCAAGATCAGCGCCACCCTCCGCAGCACCTCCGCCGCCCTCGCCTCCCTCTTCGTCGAGACCCTCGCCGAGGCCGTCGTCATCTTCAACACAAACGTCTTCGGCCTCGTTGCTGTCGCCGCCGACGTCGAGGTGTCCCTGACCGCCGGCATCTTCGCCCAGCTCAAGTCCACCGCCTGCCTGCTCGGCCTCGGAACCTGTCAGTTCGACTGCATCTCCTTCAGCACCAAGGGTTGCCACAACTACATTGACGTTGTCGGTGCTCTCGGTGGCCGCATCTCCGGCCTCGTCGGCGTCACCATCCTCTCCGACACCATCCTCTCTATCAGCTCCACCAAGGTTGTCAGCACCCTTGTCGTCAAGGACATGCTGTGCGCCAGCCTCAAGCTCAACACTCCTCTCATTACCGAGTACAAGTACACTTGCTAAATTTAGCAGCTGCGAGTTTGTCGTGAGTGGACGAGTTGAGTTGACTGTCGGGTTTCCTTTCGGAAGAAGCGTGTTTGTCGATAGAGTGCCTGCTTTTTGAAGCGGGAGGGAATATGGGTATTTTTGCATAAAAGAGCGCGGTGTTGGTAGACGGGGGAAAAGACGAATTGGATCAATGTCAAGATGGTGCTCATGAGTGAAGCAATCCTATTCTAGAGTTTAGAGTTCAGAGGCAACTGGTAATATAATGTATAGTTAGTTTGGAATAATAGAATCGATCTAGTAGATTTCGCCCTTCTCTCTCCCTGCTCATTGCTGCTTGGTATTCCTTCTCTCGCTAGTGATTAAGTTGAACAACGACTGTTTGATAAACTGCCGTATTGTTACAATGTTGTAGGATAGTGGTATTACAGTCTGCTGAGTTTCCCATGGTAACACCCAAGAATCCGTGATAAACTCCGTTTGTTCAAGCACTTACAGGAATCGCAATCTGCTTGCCAAATTTATCCACCCCGAAATGACTGAACGCCTCCTCGTCGTTCTCATCCAACAAGAACGCCCGGTCTTCATCCTCTGGAGAAAGTTTTGCATATAGGCCTTCGCCAGCCTTGGGCCACATGGGCGGAAGTGAATCTCCGTAATCCATCAACTGTGATTCTTCCTCCAAAGGGATTGGTGCTATCTTGATAGTCTTTTTAGAAGTCTTGTGTTTGTGTTTCGCCCTGGATTCTATCACCGTGTGTCCATGTCGCAGCCGCGTGGCGGACCGAGAGCTCTGATGCGAGTGCTTTGCTCTGGCTGAAACGGCGCTCAGAGCTTTGGCATTCCAACCTGGAGAGTCAAATATGGGCAGATCGGGGTGTTTCTTTGCGACAGAAACCATGATGTCGACCAACAATTGTGGCTTGAGCTGATCACAAAACGAGAGAATATTTAATACATCGGTTTTGGTCTTTCCATAAAAGTATTCTGTCAACTGTAGGAATTGAGTTAGCTTCCTCTAATTTGCTGCTTTTCGTAAGAGTGTCTTAGGTAAACTTACTGCCGCATCTGATGCATGGCCTGGCCAAAAACCAACGAGTTCTTCTTTGGCTGGAACGACGTCATCCGGGAGAGCCGCCAAGTTCTTTGCTCGCCGTCTCTCCATCTCGCTCTGCTCTTGAGAATACCCTGTGCGACGATTGATCACATCGCTGTTACTCATGCTCAAGCATGAAGGGCACATGAACCTTGAAGCCCACTGTATATCCCCCTCTTCTATTGTTAGCGACACGCATCCTTGGTGCCATAGCCTTGCACAACTGCTGCAAGGAATGAACGGATTATCTGAACCTGATGAACTTCCATCGCATTGAGAGCACCTTGCATCAGTGTATGATGGCACAAATCTCAGTATATCAGTTGCTGATGGCGTTAACGCTGGTGTTGGAGCAGGTAGGGGAAGCGACATTGTGTTTTGAGTGAAATCATCGGCTTCTTCATCCTGCTCTCGCTTCCTCTTCATCCTAATAAGTTGAGACGCCGCGATGATGTTCGCCGCACTACCCAACGGCTGATGAGTCGGCGATATGGGCATCGTCATGGTGTCGCGTATGCTTGAGCCATCATGTCCATTTGAGCCATCTTTGCTTTCATCGCCTGTTTGTGGAGCCGCCTCTGACCCATTCGGTAAACTTGAATGTGATGGCTCTTGATCATTTTTCATAAAATCAAGGATCCACGACGCAGATGAAAACTGTGGCGTATACGGAGGCCATGGTGTTGAGCTTGGAGGACATTCCTTCTCTGTATCGGCCTTGACAATGGGGATAGGATCTGCAGCAGCGGTCGCGGGTGAGTCCCGCATTGTGACGTCCTCATCGTTTGGCCCAATTGGTAAATTAATCGGCAATGGCGTCTCCATTTCGCGTTCCGGTTTAGGGATTGCCCGTGTGATGCGACAGGCTTATTGCGTGTTGAAGCGGGAATCGCTGTTCTCATGACATTGCACTTACAAGATGACGTGAGAAACTGTGCACCCGCACGTTTAACGACCCGTGGAAATTTTGGAGCATGAGAAAGGAGAAAGTAAAAGAAAAAGAAAAACTCCCCCGATGAATTTAAAACATGTTTGCGATGACTTATTAACATCTTACGATGTCAAGAAGGGGGACCATTTTCGGAAAGCGCGAGAGAGGCTGGAAAAGACAGAAGGAGGAGTCATGTGATGGATCACATGATGCGCATCGCCCAAAGAAGCTGGGCTTGTACACAGTGTCGTCTGTGCTCACAACTGTTTGCTTCAATTGTTAATATTGAACAAACAACCTGTCAACAAACAAAGGAAGTTACATAAGAATCTCTATAGAAACGAGCCGTATTCATTGCTCATAATCTAGGAGGTGTCTAATGCAATCATATTTGACTCTCATGGTTCTCATAAACTTTCATGCATCTCATCGCACCACTCCCTGATCCTTGAGTGCAGCAATATCCGACTCACTCAACCCAAGATGCTCGCTGAGAATCTCGTCTGTGTGCTGGCCCAGCACCGGAGGAGGAGTCCTGACAATGGGCTGGGTTTCTGACCATTTGACGGGCGTGTTGACCATTTTGATTGGTCCGCAGTATTCATGGTCAATCTCAATGACCATGTCACGGGCCTTGGTGTGGCTGTGGTTGAGCGTCCCCTGAACGTCGTTGATGGCGGCGTAGGGCATTCCTGAGCCCTCAAATACCTCGAGCCACTCCTGCGTTGTTCTTTGTTGCGTGATGGCTTCGATTTCGGCCTCTAGTTCGTTTCGATGCGCGACTCTATCAGCATTTGTTTTGAATTTGGCGTCGTCCTTCCAATGCGGCTTGCCTATGCCGTCACAGAGGACGCCAAACAGCCGGTCGTTGCCACCGCCAATGAGAATGTCTCCGTCCTTTGTCTTGAACGCTCTGTATGGGACGATGGAAGCTGCAGTGCTTTTAGCAAATTTGAACCCAACATCTGCCAGTCTGCACTTGACTTACGATGAGCAGTGCCCCATCTGCCACTGTCCTTTTTGCCACTTATCAGACTGCTGCTTGCAATATTGGCCAAGGTGGCCGTCTGACAATCACTCAGCGCCACGTCAATATGTTGGCCCTTGCCAGTCCTGGCCCTTGATAAGAGTGCGGCCATGATGCTGTTGCTAGTGTAGAGCCCCGTGGTCAGATCAGTAACAGCCACGCCCACCTTGACTGGCGGGCCATCTCGCGAGCCTGTGATGTGCATGAGGCCAAATTCAGCCTCGACCATGACGTCGTAGCCAGCTCGGCTTGAATAAGGGCCTGTCTGGCCGTAGCCCGTAATGGAAGCGTAGATGAGCCCTGGGTTAATCTTTCGCAGGCTGTCATAGTCCATTGAGTACTTCTTCAGCGTGCCCGGGAGGTAGTTCTCAACCAGGATGTCGCATTTTGCTGCTAGCTTATGCAAGATGTCCACTCCGCCCTGGTGCTGAAATGATAGTCCAAGAGATTTCTTATTGCGATTTGCCTAAAAAAAAATGAAGAGTTTACAAGAGGTTAGCTTTCATTGGTCACGGCAGTTGTCAGTCTAAAACTGTCAAGCTGGCTCATACCCCTAGAAAGTAAGCAGATTCACCGGGGCCTTCTCGTCCAGAGTCCGGCTTGTACTTTGCATATGGAGGACCCCATGCTCGGGTGTCGTCTCCCCGCGTTGGATGCTCGATTTTGATGACTTCAGCGCTGGAAATTTGACAAATCAACATGGATGCCACTGGTTTAGCCACACGAGGCAGACTGTGACGTTGGACAAGCTTACCCAAGATCTCCGAGAATTTGGGTGCAGTATGGCTGAGGCTGGTTAGCCAGGGGTTACCTTAGTAGGCATTGGTGGGTGCATCTATTTATATGCATCCAGGTAGATGCATGCAGTGCACACACGAGTGAGACGCCAACTTACACCAGCCAAGACTCGGGTCATGTCCAGCACACGATAGCCCTCGAGGGGCAAAGGAGCACCGCTGACGGCAGCCGCAGAGTAACGGCGGATTCCATGTGCTGCTGCGTTAAGCCATTGGGCTGGAGAAGAGCCTGAGCGAGAGAGTCTGGCGAGGCCTGACACAGCCTTGCCCCGGATCTGGGACATTGCGAGGGTTATAGTGGGTGCGTCTTGGGGAGGGCTCGTGTCATCAGAGTGGTAGAGAATGAAGAGAGAAGAGAAGAAGCAGGCCAACTACCGATCAGGCGTCGTCGATTGCATTTACCGGCCGGTATCGCCTGGGATGGATCGTGAACAGCTGGCCAATGGTGGAGTTTGTCGCCTGGCAATTGCTCGATTACTGCTGTTTTGAGCGAGACCCCCCCATGGGGTCGGCTGGATTCGGCTCACATTAGTGGGCGAATGCAGTTTAGTGGGATTTTGCTGGGCTGAAGAGCGACTGAAGGCTACATTGTATTAAGGCCATCATGAGTTTGCGTTAGTCATCCGAGATAATAAACAGGATGACAAGACACGAAATACCATCGACTGCAGAATACCCGTGGACATCAATGGACTAGCGCAGCTGGTAACTGTGGTAATGGTCATTTACGAGTACCGGTGCTAGTGTCGATACGAAGCGCCGGACAAAACTATCGACGAGACCAAAGTTGACGGCTGACCTAAGAGCTACCTAGTATTACCGTAGCTGCCGTCTTGGTATAGCTGAGTGAAGATCAATAAGACGGGATATTTGACAGCATTTATCCGTTGAAGATTACTTATACATGCACACACACTTTGCAACGGTTTGTTTGTGACTCCTTGTGGGCTAACAAATACCTAGTCAACAGGTACTAGGTAGTAATCTTGTTGATAACGCAATTGCCAAGAGAGGAAATATTGGCCTTGATGATGGAGCCCTCCTGGTGATACGAGGTACTTCGTACAATGTAGTATTGCCGCCAGACCAAGTAAACAAAGCCTGAGCTGAGCTTTTAATGATTCTTGGCGTCAATGCCCTCTTGGAATCTTTTCCCTTTACACTTCAAGTCCCATTGTCGACGATATCTCGACCCCAAATTGAACAACATCTGTCAGCCAACACACGATATGCGAGCCTTTTCGCCTGGGGGCATTCCAAACCAAGCCTCTCTGCCTGCAAGCACGGCCACACAGTGTGTTGCATCCGCCGTTGCTGATGTGACGCTTGGCCTGGCCTGTCCCCGAGGCTAAGCTCGACGCTTCTGGTGACGCGGAGGGCCTCGCATCCTGCCGGCTATTCGCTCTTGTAGTCGAGGCGATTCCCAAACAGGCTTCTCGCAACCACCACCCCCCGGCCGCAGTGCTTACTGATATCGTCGTAGTAGTTCTTGGGGAGCAGCAGCAGCAGCAGCACAAAGCAGCCCATACAGAACAGAGAAGAGAAAGAAAAAAAACCAACAGGGGCCTCCATAATGCTGCTCAGCAACTCAGGGCCGTTCCCCACTTGCTGTGGGATGATGAAGATGCGCAAAAGCCCGTCAAACGTCGCATCCGCCCCCTTCTGTTCTGACCCGGACCTGCAACTGAACTGTCCCCGTTAGTGGCCTGGCGTCCTTTTCTCCCATTTGCCTTCCCCCCTGGGCGTTCCCGTTTCTATTAATATTGATTTGTCGCGCGCTGTTGCTATGCCAATATCACCAGTGCACAAAGCGGTTTAGTCTCACCGTTCAGTGACGCAAACGCTCGCAGATGCTTGCCCGTTCTGTTACTTCAAAACTGGAGGCTCTCCCGCCAGCCTCGCCCGCGAGACGCAACTCTCTTGACATACCTAATAAACCCGTTCTCGAGGGCTGTGCAGGCGCCCACCCACAGGCCCCCCCCCCAAAGGCGATCCGTCGATCGAACCGCCGGCAGGCTGGGAATGACTTGCGTTACCACACCATGGCGTTACGGGGTCTGTAAATTGAATGTGGCTCGTTTGCGAAATGCGCTACCTTGGTACCACCACGATACGAATTCGACCCGTTTTTTGATAAACTCTCTGTTGGTGCGAGCGTAAACTCATTACCTATATACGGCGCTCCGGGACTTTGTGGAAAATTTACCTCTCTCGTGCTCTCTTTCAAACTACTATACCTAGGTACGCAGCGTCTAAACTTGATCGTCCGGGTCGTACAGATAGCCACCGCCATGGACAAGCCTATGATGCTGTCGCGGCGCGAGCTGCCAAAATCAACCATGATATACATCATCGTCGGCGTTGTCGTCGGCGTGACTTGCACTGTCGGAGTCATTGTCTTTCTGGTGATGAAACATCGCAAAGGTCAAAAGTACAGCCAACTGAGAAAGAGGAGCACGGTTACTACCACCACGAACAACCGAGAGTCTTATAGGAAGAGCATCATGTCGACCGTTTCCGAGGTGGACGACGCGCAGAGGCAGGCCATGATTCGGAAATCGCTGGCGACGCGAAGCTCTATGATGACGTTGAACATGGACGCAAGCTCCGTGTATACCGCGCCTCATCCGCTGGATCGCACCGCCTCTCATTTCTTATACCGTCCGGTCTCTCATCCGCTGGAAGAAGCCATCACAGAGGCCGCCGCAGAATTCGTTACAGAGGCCGCCGCAGAAGCTGTTACAGAAACTGCTGCAGAAGCTGTTGCAGAGACCTCCCCGGAAACTCAGGAGTCGCATCCTCCTCCGTCGCGAGATGAGGAATCGCGAGACGAAGAATCGCTAATCGGCCTCAAGGCTGACTGGAAGGAGTGGGAAGCGAGGCTACACGAGAACCACTCCCTCTCGCTCGACCATCACCCAGCCGTAGCCCCCGAGCGAAAGGATTCCACCGGCTCCAATGGCTCCCACGGAGAATATCGTCTAGTTAATGGCCCGCCAACTCAAGCCCACCTCAGCCTTATTACGTCTGAGCTCGGCCGGCGCTCAGTACCACCCCTGAGTCGGCCACATTCCGTCGTTTCTATCGAATCCACAAGATCGCTGCCGATGAAGTATGAGTTTAAACGGGAACGAGACACACGCTCTCCTCTAACACGCTCCCCCCATCGACTACAACATTCGTGGACAGCTTCTTAAAACGATCGTTGTCGAGTCATAGGACATGAACGGATATTTTCTCTTGGTTTTACACTAATCTCCAAGCCAATGGGATTCTACGGGGGAAAAAAGAAAGCCTTTCTCGCCCTGCCCTGCAGAGCGCTCAGTTACCAATCTCGTTGGTAACCTCGACAAATGCTTGCCACTGTCTCCAGGCCTCACCACTTGTGATGGCCCACTTGGCTCTTCGTACACCTTCCTTCCAACGTTGGCCGCCAGGGCCTCGTTCTTTAATGGCGTTCCCATCATCGCCATGGCCCATGTCGCTGGTATCCGCCTCACAGATGCCAGACGCCACAAGAAGGGCCGCAGTATTGATTAACACGAATTCGACCACCGGATCATCTAGGGGAATTTGGTTTTGCAAGATGCGAGATAGAATCTCGGCATTCTCCTCTGGCTCCTTTCCAGAAGATACGTCTTTTAGGGCGTGGGGGGTGACGCCAAAGTCATGGGGGTGGACTTTGAAATGTTCGACTTCGGATTCGCCTCCAGGGGATTTCTCTTTCAACATCCAGCAGAGCGAATTGCCTGCACAGCTAATTTCGTCCAACTCCTCTTCTCCGCAGACAACCAGTGCCTTTTTGCACCCGGCAACCCTCAAGGCTTCGGCAAAGGCCGGACCAAGATCCCGTCTTCCGACGCCGATGACCCGAGCCTCAAGCACGTCTTCGACTGGATTAGCCAATGGACCCAGATTGTTGAAAATTGTCCTCCAGGGGAGCTGCTTTCGGATAGGCGCCACGTAGCGCATGCCGGTGTGGAAGACTGGCGCAAAGAGGAAGCTGTAGTTTGTGTTGGAGTAGACCTTGACCAGGGTGTCGGGCTTGACGGCGCTGATAATGGGCGGCCGAGGCTTCATGCAGTTGACCATGTCAGCACTGCCCGATTTCGACGTGCTGGCCTTGTTGCCGTGCTTGGAAACCAGAAGCAGCGACGAGGCGAGAATGGATGAAGTCGTGCTGACATTGAAGGTGTCGTGGGAGTCACCTCCAGTGCCGACAATATCGCACTGCGTTTGAAATAGTTAGAATAATTTTTTTTTACCCCCAGGTATACGGGACTCATGTATCCCAACTAATAATAGTTGATTGGAATTGTAAAAATCTTACCAGGCCGCCTTGATACGTGCCCTCTTTTTTCCCCCGCGCCTGGATGACGCTCTGGAGCTCCTTGACCGGAATCGGGGCCGCAGCTTTTCGCATGACATAGGCGCAGCGCTCCAAGACGTCGGCCTTGAAGTCGAACTTGGTGAAGTGAAGAGCCATGAGGAGAGATGCCGCCTGAGCCTCGGTGACCTGGTTTGTGAAGAAATGGGAAATTGCCTCTGCGATCTCGTCGGGAGTCACCTCGTTGTCCGTCGGCCAGAGCTTGGTCAACAAGGGTTTGAGGTTGACTGGCGGAAGGCCTTCTTGGCCTGTGCCTGTGCCTGCGCTTGAGGCCATTGCTGAAGGATTTCGATTTGACGGTTGATAAAGACGAATTAAACAAGATGAGTATAAGCGCAGGGGATTGGGCAGCGCTGAGCCGAAATGGAATGAAAGGAATGAAGAGCAATGCAGATCCAATTCTTATGTCGGTTGACACATGGGATAAATGTCAAACCCAACCACACCATTCCGCATCTGTGTCATAATAGGTACAGGTAGAGACTCAATGGAGAGGAACGTTGCTATTGTGCCTATGACTCAGCACGAGAAACTGTACCTAGATTGTCAAAGTGTGGCTGGCAATTAGCCGATTTCGAATCCCAAGGCATGGAATAATATTTCCCCGTTTATACATACGGCAAGGCAGAGTTGCTCCGTATGAAACACACGATGTCTTTGACACCACACGGTGCCATATAATACCAGGTAGTATTAGTAGTACTACTACCAAGTACTAAGGTACTAAGGTAATTCTGCTGAGTCACCCTCCAGAAGATTCCCTGGCTACCTGATCAACCAGGCCGAAAGTTTGCTCCAGCCTGACCTACAATACAACGCCTTCGTCACGCAGCCGCTCATTCGAATCTTTCTCCCAAACAACGTCTTTTTTCCCCCACTCTCTCGCCGCCAGAAGCTGGACCACGCTCCCTCACCACGCTCACTGCTCGTCAAAGCCCGTTGATAGGAGCAAATTCAGCCGCTTCTTCTGCCGACTAATCGATGCTCTGAGTTTTTTTCTGTCGATCCAACCTCAGACGCCTTCACTGGTTCCGAAAAGTCGGCCGGCAGAGTCCATTTGTTTACGCATCCGAGTTTTCACGTCCTTTTCCGCTCCATCGCCCGGCAGCACGAGCGCTATAGGGTGTTTTCGGGCCGAAGAAAAGGTCCCCTTTACATAGTTAAAAAGAGAAAAGAAAAAAAAAACCGTCGCGCTTCTTGTTGCTTCCTCGCTGTCGGCAGGCCATCAGGAAAGGGACGGTGTTCGCCGCGTCTAGCGCCTCGAACGAAGAAAAAAAATAATAAAAAGAAGAAGAAAAATCCTCAAATAAGGACGAAGAGAAGGACATATTCTGTCTAGCCACCGACGACAAAAGTCTCTGCTGTCACGTCGGAGGCTGCAGTCGAATTCTCTCTTCCTCTCAAGCTAACGAGCCCTCGCGACCGTCAAACTGCATTCACCGCTCTTTGTCCAAGTCCTCAACGATCAGCTCTGGATTAGAGGATCCTCTTTCAAAACAAACTCCCCCGTAAGAATCACAGTAGAGAAGAAGAGGCAGCAGCTGCGGTGCCGAAGAAAGGAAGCGAAGAGAGCACGAAAAATCTTTGACGAGATCACCAACATTTACCAGCCGAGGGCCTACAAGTCCAAAATGTTTCCGCCGCCGCTGCCGAGCGCAAATGCCAATGGAGCTGGCGCTGCAAATGCAGCCGGGTTCCAAGAAGACCTGAACAATGTGCTTTGCTGCCCCGACTGCAAAGAATACCCCCCGAACCTGATCGAGGAGTTTTCGAGCGGAGACATGGTCTGCCAGAGCTGCGGCGTTGTCGTTGGCACTCGCATCATCGATACTCGGTCTGAGTGGCGTACCTTTGCCAATGACGACCAGGGAGGTGATGACCCAAGCCGTGTCGGCGGACCTCAGGATGAATTCGTCGAGGGTCAGCACCTTGCCACGACCGTCGCCTTTTCCGAATCCAAGGCTCACAAGGCCTTGTCCCGTACCCAAAACAACGCCAACGCAGACAAGGCTCAGAAGGGTTTAATGCAGGCATACAAGGAGATTGTTGCGCTTTGTGAGACTATCAATATGGGAGCAAATGTCTCCAATGCCGCTAAGCACATCTTCAAGCTCGTTGACAAGCACAAGTTCATGAAGGGCAAGCCCCAGGAAGCTGTCATTGCCGGGTGTATCTTCATCGCTTGTCGACAAAACAATGTGCCTCGAACATTCAGAGAAATCTTCAACCTTACTAGCGTTAGTAAGAAGGAAGTGGGCAGGGTCTTTAAGCAATTGCAGAACTTTTTGCAAAAGATCCAAGACACCGAAGGCGAGGGCGGTACCGGACTGAACACCGTCACCAACTACGAAAACACGTCTGTTGGCGCCGAAGATCTCTGTGGCCGTTATGTGTCTCAACTGGGTTTCAAGAACCAGCAAAAGATATCCAAAATCTCCCGCGATCTCGCAGAGCAGGCTACCGACATCTCTGCTCTGGCCGGCCGATCACCGTTGTCCGTCGCCGCTGCCTGCATCTACATGGCGTGCCACCTTATGGGAGAGCCACGCCCCTCGGCTCCCATTGCTAAGCAAACTGGCGTCAGTGACGGAACAGTCAAGACGGCTTACAAATTCCTCTTCGCATACCGCGATACTTTAATAAAGAAAGAATGGCTCGAGGAGGGTGGCAAGATGGAGAACATTCCGCAAGTCCAAGTGTGAGCAGAGTCTTCGCGTTTAGGGGCAAACGATCTCATATGTGCTTTGGGACACACCGCCGGACACACCGCCGATCAGTTTGTTTTTGCATTGCATTTTTACGGCCGTTGTACAATGGGGTTTTTGATACTGTTGCTGGGGCGAGAAAAACCGCCTCGGGGCTGAATTGGTTATCTGCCTTTTGCGCTGTCTGGTGCTTTACTTGGAGATTTTGAGAACGGCAAACGAATCATCTCTCTTACTAGATGGTAGTAAGGGAACAATAATGGGTTTGAATTTCGGAATGGGCAGATTCTTTCGTCTTGATCAATCTGGCAGTGGGTTTCCTTTAGTTATAGCAACAGGTATCTCAGGTTATATAGATCATAATAGTATCCACCACGATTGGAACAATATGCGGATGAAGGTATATATATATATATATATATGTCTTGTGAATGTCTCTCAGTCGGCTGCTTGCGTGTTATTGTAGGAGAAAGAGAACCTTGATGAACGCCGAAAGCGGCATGCAGGCCAATTCCTCGCCATTCCGTTTTGATACTGTCTAACGGGTGACGTCACGGAAGTAATTTTATCTAGAAGCGGGAGCTTATATGTTGCAATTTAATATCTTTTGTTAGTACACTCAATAGGTACTAAATTAATGACATGGCAGAACGGATTATGGCATGCTCAGACAAAATCTGAATCACAGGGTCAAGCTGAGACAGTGTACTGTAGTCTGAGTACTTGCTACAACGGATTGAGGTTGTATAGTGTAGATACGTTGGATCGGCAGGTACTTGGGAGTGGTGCAGATCAATTAACCCGTATTACATACTCGTGCTCATGATTGAGTCGCCATGTTATGTTCCCGATTCTCATCTGGCATGTTGCGTGGCAGATTGTTTCTGACACACAAGACTTGTGGGGGCGAGACATGGTTTGACGTTGGGCTATGGAGACACGGACAACTTTTATGGCTATGGCTATGGCTAATGGAGAAGGTTACGCGTCAGCGAGAAGCCGAGGGCCGATACGAAAGAAGAGGCGGCACGGAGTTGACCATGATGCAAACAGGTAACTCTACGGGGCCCTCGTCGAGAGTCTACTCGGGTGTAAATCGATGATGTATAGCTTGGCTCATAATACATGATAGAACACTGACGACTACAGGTACATATCTGCAGGACTAGCATACATCCAACGCGGGAAAACTAGGTACTAGGTACTACAATAGACCACTCACTGCCTGTGCCTCTAAATACTACCTAGTAGTCTTCCCCGAGTCAATTCTTGCATAGCCCCCAGAAATCTCAACTTGCATGGACGACGCCGTCACAAAAGGCCCGTCCAATGAAGCCCCCAGCGCCCCACGTGGTGGAAATTCCTTCAGAAGGGCCTGTGACGCTGCTGCAACCACCAGACGGGCCTTTACAGTGGATGCTAGTAGTACCTGTGGCTGCCAGTCTAGCAGTGCTAGCGGCACGTCGTCCAGTAACCTGAGCCTGTTGGCCGTCGGGTCTCTGCTTGCGTCCAAGCCCAAAGTGGCGGCCCCTCTGTAACTGTGTGGGCAAAGCCCCCTGTAGGTACACATCAAGTAGCCCGACCGCTAGCCTTTCCAAGTTGCCACCAAGACGAGCCCATCACCAAGAGATGGTGTCGTGGTGCATTCATTGTTGTCATTCTTCGTATTGCGACGACGCTGGCCGTATCGGAAAAAATCCATCTACCGTCACTCGTTCACCTCCTAATCTGGCCTTTTGCTCTGCTCCGCTGTTAGCATTAGCATTTGTGCCGTCGTCAGTCGTTTAAGGAATATTTACAGTGTGCCGTTCAGGTTCACCTCGTTAGAATATTATACCAGACTGGACTTGACCCAGCACACACACGGCACGCCCTTGCTGTTGCTGGTTTGTGTTGAATTTTATTGACGTCCATCCACCTTCTTTTAGCCGTCGCTCAGACCACGCCGTTGCGTGACCCGATCCCCAAGCCGCCAACGGGCATTTTCTCGGCATGAGAACATCAGCTGTTGCTCGTGTCGACTGAGTCGGGTTCTAGCGTCGCAAACCTCCTCTCGCTTATCGATTTATCTGGGGGGAAAAGGAGGTTTCCTGGGGATTGGCCTCGATCTCGTAAATCACATCGCGCCATCATGGCCGATGGGCTGAAACAATCCCCGTCCAACGAGGCCAGCAGCGTCGCCGAATACCCTCGAAGCTGCGCCGAGGCTGCAATTCCTCCTCCCAAGACCTCCGTCGTCCAGCGCGTTCGCCATGTCGCCAATTCAGTCTATCAGAAGGCCGTCGTCGAGACCATTTTGCAGCGAGGCCAGCTGGCCGCCTCAAAGGATGGCAGGAAGATACCCTTGCGACTCGACAATGACGAGCCCTTGATCGATACTCGGCGCGGGCAGGCGTACATCTCCAACAGCATTCGCACTTCTCGTTATACCTTGTGGAATTTTATACCCAAACAGCTCTTCTTCCAGTTTACCCGTGTTGGTAACTTTTATTTCCTCTGCGTTGGAATTCCTCAAATGGTATGTTGTGCCTGTCATCCTGCTTCTTCCGCTTCCGTAGCTAATGAGCTGGCCGCAGATTCCTGGCCTCTCAACGACCGGCTCCTACACGACGATTCTTCCCCTCCTGTTCTTCGTTTGCTTGACCATGTTTAAGGAAGGCTACGACGACTATCGAAGACACCGGCTGGACAAGGTTGAAAACGCAAACTTTGCGACGATACTCGGCAAGGAAGACAAGTACACTGGCAAGTCTAGACCGGCACACTTTCTGGATCGATACAACCCTTTCCATACGAAAACGACGAGTGAGCCTCTGCCTGTTCCCGACGAAGAGTTCCAAGGCGTTCGATGGGTGCCGACGAGATGGGCCGATATCAAAGTTGGAGATGTCATTCGACTTTCGCGCGACGAGCCTGTACCCGCCGATATTGCGCTTCTCTACAGCGATGGTGAAAACAACTTGGCTTATGTTGATACTATGGCGCTTGACGGCGAGACGAACCTCAAGAGCAAGCAAGTGTGCCATGCGCTCGAGGGATGTGACACCATCGAAGGCATTGCCAAGTGTGCTGCCGAGTTTGTTGCCGAGGACCCAAATCCGGACCTGTTCAACTTCAATGGAAAAGTAACCGTCAACGAAAAAGCGATGCCTTTGACTCTCAACGAGATAGTGTATCGTGGCAGCGTACTTCGTAATACAACGTGTGCCATCGGAATCGTTCTCAACACCGGAGAGGAGTGTAAGCTACGCATGAACTCCAACAGGCACCCAAAGGCAAAGAAGCCGGCTCTAGAGAGGGTGGTGAACCGAATTGTCATCACTCTCGCTTTTTATGTCGTCATCCTTTCTGTTGGAGTGTCAATGGGCTATATCCGCTGGCAAAAGAGCACCGAGCGACATTCCTGGTATTTAAACGATGCTAATGTTCCCTTCCACGAGATTATCATTGCCTTTATCATCATGTTCAACAATGTTATTCCTCTATCGTTATATGTGAGTCTGGAAATCGTCAAGATTGGACAGTTGCTTCTTTTGAATTCGGATATCGACATGTACGACGAAGAGTCTGATACACCAGCTCGGTGCAACACAAACACTATCCTCGAGAACCTCGGCCAGGTCGGATACATCTTTTCGGACAAAACAGGCACGCTCACGGACAATGTCATGAAGTTTCGCAAAATCAGCGTTGCCGGTACCGTCTGGCTACACGAGATGGATTTGGAACCTCAGCCACAGGCAGAGGGATCTGATAGTGCTTCGTCGATTGTCAAGGAAGTTGAATTCCCGAGCCGGTCACCTTCAGTTTATCGGAGGGATCGCCTCTCTGTTGTAATCCACGAGGACGGCCCTGAGGCTATGGACACACCAATGTCTCCAAGGCCGTCAATGGGAGGAAGACGATCTTCATCTCAATGGCGATCAACGGGCCGACCGGATCATGTTCAACCTGATGTCAACACCTCTGATTTGCTCGAGTACATGAAATCGCGGCCGCATTCAGCTTTTACCAGGAAAACAAAAGAGTATCTGCTTGCCATGGCGCTATGCCACTCATGCTTGCCAGAAAACAAGGATGGGAAAATGGACTTTCAAGCTGCCTCCCCGGACGAACTCGCGTTGGTAAGGGCCGCTCAAGAAATGGGATATTCGGTTGTTCAACGAAATTCGAAACAAATAACGGTTGAAGTGACCCAGACAGATGGGAGTGTTGAGCGTTTAAAGTATGATATCCTGGACATTATCGAATTCAGCAGTGCCCGCAAGAGGATGTCCATTGTCGTCCGATACCCCGATGGTCGCATCTCAGTAATTTGCAAGGGCGCCGACTCAGCCATCTTGCCTCGCCTGAGGCTGTCTTCGCTTGCCATGCAAAAAGCAACCGAGGTTCGCCAGAGCGCCGACCTTGAGCATGAAAGGTTCCGCCGCAGCGAGCAGCTCGAGCCCCGAAACAGCTTTGGCGGACGGCCCAGTCTGAGTGTTCGCCGTAACCCTACCATTACCAGGGAGCGAAGCGTACATCGACCGTCAATGAACCGAAGCAAGTCTTTCGAACTCAACAAGCTGACTCGTCGATCTGAGGAACGACCACGCCCATCCTTCAATATAAATTCACGCGGAGCTTCATTTGATATTTCGAATCGCCATCTTCTCGGCCCCATGTCGCCTCACATACAGCAGTCGCTGGATCCTCGCCTCGCCTTTTTGGAAGACTCTGGGATTTTCGACGAATCTGAGGTGTTTACAAAGTGTTTCAAGCACCTGGATGATTTCGCAACGGAGGGTCTCCGAACTCTTCTCTTTGCCCAGAAATTCGTTTCCGAGCAAGAGTACAGGTCCTGGAAGAAGCTTTACGACGATGCCACAACCAGTCTTACCGATCGACAGGACAAAATCGAAGCCGCCGGTGAGATGATTGAACAAGCGTTTGAGCTCGTTGGTGGCAGCGCGATCGAGGACAAGCTGCAGAAGGGCGTGCCAGAAACTATCGACAGG